TGGGGGGAACAGTGGGGGTAGGGTTGAATAAAAAAGAAGTTGTCCTTTGATAGCAATTGAGAGAGTGAGAGAATGACTTTGGGCTGCTGCTGGGGTCAGGTACTATGAGCAGGTTGGCATGACCATACATTGGATGCCCAAGGGCTATTGAGGATTTGTGCAATGCAAGGTCGTTTACAGGGGCTAGGATCCAGCATACGATAAACCAACTTTTTGGCACCAAACTCAAGACCAGTGAGCATATCACATCCGTCCTCTCGGGCACGTCGTCGTATCACTTCACGGGCACGTTGAATTTCAGCAGGGTCAAGATGATTGTTGCTATGCATTTGCTTCACTCGTTGTCGTTCGCTGTCCAGCAGTTGACGAAATCGAAGAAAGCGATCATAATCATCATCTTCACCTTGACGTGCCACATGCCACAAATGGCTACCGGTTGCCATGGCCACGTAAACCACCGCACAACTCCACACATCAGCTCTACGACCGTCGTACGATGATTGCACAAATTGCTCAGGTGCAATGTAGGGCTCAGATCCCACTATTCCTTTGCAGTAATGCATGGCATCCTCATCATCTTCTTGGTCACCCCTTGCACCACCACCAATGTATACAGAGGATCCAAAATCGGATATCTTGAGGCACCCATGCGGCGTAAGTAACAGGTTCTCGGGTTTGATGTCACGATGTGCAATGCCCACGCTATGCAAAAACGCCACACCTTGCAATAGTTGCTTGAAAAAGCAATTGGCTTCGGCTGTCGCTAATCCATCCGACGACTCAAAAATCAATTCAAACAAGTCACCACCCTCACAGTATTCCATGACAAGGCAATAGGTACTCGATGTCTCCGTCAATGGAAGTAAATCAAACGTTGCCACAATGTGGCGGTGTTGTAATGCGGATGAAATATCATACTCGGACACCAACCGCCTGACATAGCTTTTAAGCGTTTCAGATCCTTTGCGTCGAAATTCCTTTTATATATATACAAATGTATCATTACATTAACCATGTTGCTTTGCCATTCAGTCACATTTTTTTCTACCTTGACAGCAAACAATTGCTGTTGTTGGTCTCCATCCCCTCCTGCTGATGATGAGGAGGATGGTGACGATGGTTGTTGTACTTCACGACGAATAATACGGATCTTTCCAAACGCGCCTTTTCCAATGACTTCTTGGGTCACGCCCCATTTTTGAGCAAGACAAGTCTCAGGTGTTGTAGTACGATTCAAACTTGCATCAATAGCATCCCGTTCTTCTTGTAATTCCTCAGGCGACATGCGTCGATCACCACCCCATAATCTTAAGGATCGTGCTGATTCTCGATGAAACAATCCATCCACAAAGTCATTGATAGATGATGTTAACCGATTTTGAGCAGGACCAGACAAATGATGTTCATGCGTCCCATCCTCTAATATCCGAAACCGCTCATTGGTTGTATGCATATGAAAGAAATGGTGATGATGATGATGTTGTTGTTGGTCTGTTGGTGAAGATGATGAAGATCCTGCTGCCGTCGGTGAAAGACTCGGCTGCTGTTGGTTGTTGTTGTTGTTGTTGCTAGACAACATGGTAGTTTCTTTTGATAATGCAGTCGTTGAAGGTGGTGTTGTTGTTGTGGTAGCAGCAGTAGTAGTAAAACAGGATGATTGTTTGTTTATTTTTTGCTGTAATGGTTGATCTTGTTGGGGATGATGCGAAGAAGAAGAAAGAAGATGTTGAAAAAAACCCATAAGGGAAATAAGAAGGAAAAACCCGCAAGTGTAAATTGAAAGGTGTGTGAGGGGAGCGAGGGGAAAAAGGAGGAAAAGGGATGGGATGCGGTGCGTGTGTGTACCAGGTGATGTGTAATGTGTCCATATATTATATGCGGTGTGATGATGCCTGTACTGGTGACGTTTTGCTTGGAAAGAAACATGGGTAAAACTAGCTTTCTGATGACGATGATGATGCTTCATGCTCTTTCTCCTTTGTTGGTGATGCTCCTGCTGCAGGCTTGCTATCCTCACCTTTGGAGGTTGTTGTTGGTGTTGTTGATGTGTCAGCAAGACCCTTTAATTGTCGTTTCAGCGATTGGATTTCATCCTTGAGTTTCGAAAGTTGATCATCCTTTTGTCGGTTGTCAGCCTTTAGTTTCAGGATATACTCGTACGAATGTTGTATTAACACCACTTTGCTCATTTGCTTGACCATCTTTTCTTTCTCCTCCTCGGTCATTGTTGTCGTTGCTGCTGCCGGTGACGTAGTGGCGGTGGTGGTGATGGTATTATCCTTTTGTCCATCATTGCTGCTGCCGCTGTTGTTGCCCTGGATACGGAATGTACCACCTTCCTCCACAAGTGCACTTGCAATCTCTTTACGAAGCGAATCGAAACTTTGTTTGAGGATGTCTCGTCGTTTTTGCTCTGCTGCTTTGTGTGCTGAACGTCTATTTTCCACGCCTGATTGGAAGCTTGAAGAAAAGTCGATGCCAAGGCTCTTTGCATTTCCTTCACGCATGTTTTGATAATTACTTTTGGTGGCTAATGCTGCAAGGGCGGCTTGTTCCTCGAGTGGGGATAAACGTTTGCCATTAGGTTTCATGGAAGGAGAGATGAGTGGTTTCAAAGCACGTGGCGATGATGATGATGATGGATTGTTCCCAGGCAATTGAGGACGTAAAGCTGCAGGTGATACAAGAGCTGCAATGGTTGGATCGCTTGTGGGTCGGGGCGATAACATGTGATGTGTAGGCGTAAGTCCAGGCGAAGTGAAAACAGCAGATGACCTTGATGTTTTTCTACGCTTGGAAGGAGCAGGTGCTGCTACTTTTTTACCAGTGGCCTTGATCTTATCATCCAACATGGCAGCAGGTAATGATCCCATATTATCAACAGCTGATGTTGGATTATTGTTGCTCGTACTTGGTGTGGTTGCTTTGTTTCCTCGACCCAATTTCATCAACAAGGATGGTGTAGCTGGTGCAATATCGGCTGTAGATGATGATGGTTGTTGTTGCTGTGATAGGTAGGTCACGTTGTTACGAGATGAAATGGCACCTGCAGGGGAATGTTGTATCTCCTGTGTGGCAGCAACAGCAGCATTAGGGGCACTGCTGACAGATGATGATGATGATGGTGTCCCATTGTTGGTACTACTATTCGAAGTTCCCGGATGCAAATGACGATGAGCGGATCGTAATAATTGTTGTTGTTGTTCAATCATGGCGAGTTTTTGTTGAAGTACACTTTCTGGAAGCTGTTCCGAGTTGAGCTGGTTCAAATGCTGATCCATATTATTATTTGAAGAGAACTGATGATATGATACAGAATGTAATGCTGGAGATGTCAATGGTGAAAACGAAGCTGACTCGGTAGTAGTAGTAGTAGTAGTTGCCATGTTACGATGATGTGCTGCCGGTACAATAGCTGGGGATACCAAAGGACTTAGGAAATCTTGTAGCTATTGGATGGATATATAGAAACGAGATGAGATCTATATCCTCGTACCTTAAACTCCTTTTCCCTCCCTTTAAAAGTTTCCATCCCATTCCATCCCACCGAACAAACCTCGTCTTCATTAAAGTTGGTCATGTCTTCTAGTGAAATGGCCTGTGGATGATGTGCCCCAGCGTTGGATGTTGATATCTGTAAAGGCGACATGGTGTAATCTGGATTTTGTCCAGTCAACACGCTGCTATTCGTGCAGTTGCTATGGTCTCGACCGTCAGGTGTCAATTGCGGTACATTGTAAGAGTCGAATGCATGAGAGGGCAAATCGAGTGACATGCTGCCAAAGTCATTGTGTGTGAATGAAAGAAAGTCAACATTGGCGTGTGTTGTAGTTGGGTGGTGTTGCGTATTATGGTGCTGTTGAGCTGCTGTTGTAGTGGGTAGAGCATATGGCGACTTGAGAACGTTGTTGTTGCTATCCAAGTCGAAGGAACCAAAATCCATCCTCGTTGTGTGTCGTTAAGGAAAAAGTGAAAGAGATCCACATTTTAAGCTTGCCACTTTTCTCATGTGCTTTTGTGTTGCCGCCTTTTGTTCCACCTGTTTGTGTAGCATCCCTGCATCAAGCCTTTCACTCATCTTTTATGGTTACTTCTCTCCTCCTTATTATTATCGCATTGGTTGCTTTTCTTAAAACTCGACCAAAGATGATGTTATTCATAAAAGCTATTATCCTAGTAATGGCGATCAATGTACCTATTCCCCACACCCCCGTGCATCTTGGTATGTGTCCTTGAAGCGGATCAAGTTAAACGTCACCAATCACAGTGCTGAATGGTATCACACGTCGGATTCCTTCGCTGTGATTCCTGCGCACAGATCCTTTATTCATTCGCCTCTTCAACAGCAAGGCGGCTCACCAAAAAAATGTGTGCATACATAGCCACAAAGGCCCTGAAGTCAAATTCATCATCTATTATGCTCATAGTGTTATGTTACATATGTAAAGATCCTACCATTATGTCAAGGAAGGCATAAGTAATCTTCAATAAAGCAATGCTTGAAGAAAGATCTCATTTATCCAGTAATACCATCATCATCATCTGCCATCGGCCTTCTAATTCTTGTTGTTGATGCGACGATCCCATTTCAAACATCAACATACTACGTAATAGGTGTATGCATATGGTATAAGCCTATCGATTGATTAGCCCGCTTACTGTTGCTACTGCATCTCGTGGTATCTTCTTTTTGCATTTTCGTATCAGAGTCGATCTATGGTAGCGGGTAACACACCATGCCTTACTCTGCAGATCGTTGAATCGGAGATCCGCAAAGACACCACTTAGCAAGGCATTGACCATAATAACATTTGGGACACAAAGACACAAGGGCTTGGCAATTTCTTTGTTGCCCCTTTCCAAGGTCACCTATATAAAGAGCATTGTTTTTATAATGGATCCTATAAATTAATAGCGACAGCATTACCCTTACCTTATAAATCCGGATGTTGTTCATGCTACCTCCAAACGCTTTCTCTCTACGAGTGGGTGGATTTATCATTTTTTGATGTCACAGCTGGTTCCTTTGATGTAACATTCTTCTAAGTCGATTGACCACTTTATCAATACAATCAATCACAACCTCCTCCTTTTCTTGCATGGACAACACTTCCCACGCCCACGCACATAAAGCAATGCTGTTGTCACCAGCATCGCCATCATCCATCTCTTTCGTCTATTTGATTGCATATACCTTCAAAGTCTTGCTGTTTGGTTAGTGTCAAAGATAGCCTGTATGATCCCAACACTCATACATTGATCCATGTCCTTATCCATCATGTAGCTCTATTATTGCCATTGTGGCATTTGATCCCATTGCCTCATGGATCCTTTGTGATACATACATTGCGTATCTTTATGCCTCTACAAGCAAAAGCCGAACCTAGTCTGGGGAGAAGTTGGGAAACCTTTGGTGACTTTAAGATGCCTACAAATGGAGTGACCAGTAAGCAAACGCCAACTATCCCAAAATCCAATGAAATCAAGCATCCTCCCTTTGGAAGGTTTACAAGGCATCTCAAGCTACTTTTCCAAGCGACCACTTGATCAGTGGACCTATGACCGCTATGCTGCACATTTCGGTGGCCATAGCAACCACATCAAGCAGCAACATCATACAACAACGACCTAGATCAACTTCGTGGTCATCAAGTTTCCCGTCCAGTGAAAGGATACTTCAGTGCTCTTGTGAAAGCGGATAGCCACCAGGAGTCAAGCATCATATATAGCAACATGAGATGCATCACCATGGCAACCGCAAGCAACGTAACTTTTGCACGCAACCGTGAGTATCGGTCATAGTAGCCAAACGTATCCTGTGTAATAGCCACTGATGGATAAACCTAGATGATGACAACATTGTTGAAAGGCCTTCCAAGAAACAAGCTGTTGAGGTAATGTAAATGATTTATTGGTTTATGCTGAAAAAGTGTCTAACATGGAATTGATCGTATACGCATCCAATACAGGTTCAGGTTGATAAGGTATGTTGTTTCGAATATGGGTTTATTATAATGATTGTGAGATTCACCATTAGCTTTCTATATATTTAGAATGATGTCAAGGATGGCCTATCGCTGCAAATCCTGGCAATTGTAGCTTTGATGAACATCAATACCGTATTTACGTGCATGAGTACTCTGAAGGGTGCAAGCTTATCGAGCGATCATCGAAGACGTCATTACATACGGCAAGAAGATGCGTGTACAAGATGCTTTCCACCAATTTGATCGCAAAGAGATATCCGGTGCTATCTCTTAGCAACATACAGTATTCGTATTGGCGGCCAACTAGTCCTGTTCATGCATCCACCGTTTCAAGACCTCGTATCATCAGCGTATGTTGGAGGCATCGCCTTTAAAGGAGGGACGGCACACTTTGCCAGCACAATTGCAAACGTGGTGTGGTGAACTTGACAGCCTCACTTCTTCCCATACGACATTGCTATTGCGGATATGCGAAGGCTGACACGAGGCTTTGAATCGGCAGCGGATGACATTGATGGCAAGCGGAGCTGTTGAGCAGCCTAATGAACACCTTTTCTCGCTGGTGCGATACTTGGAGTTTGGAGAACCAATTCAAGAAGCAGCACCCCCATACCGTTCCTTGACCATCTTTTTGACAACGTTTACATCCGTGAAGGAGAAACACACTTGCAAGAAGAGAACAGTGGCAACTTGGCAGACTCCATTGGCATACATACAGAGTGCCTACGGGCTTATTTGATATCCTTGCGTTGAGTTGAAACCTCCATCAGAGGTCCTCAAAAGCCAGCTTGAATATGATTTTGTGAAGCGACGGGAAGGAGTTCAAGCTGATGATTGATTGATTGCTTAATCATGGCATTCATGATGTTATTGTTTGCGGCATCCTCGGTGACGGAAACGCTCAAGCTCAGGCACGACCATTCATCAAAAGTTGTAATCGGAACGAAGGTCATGGATATCCTGGTAACGTGTTCAGCACGGATCGACCGCGAACAAATTTCCAACATCGCACGTTCCTACATGCAAGAACAAAGGCTAACATGTCACATTTGCAAGTTACCAACCCTTATTACTGTAAATAATGCGTTTCTTATACCTTATCTTCTTTGTACATAAATTATTTATTCTTTTTCCTTATACTCTAAACACTTGAATGATCCAAGAATTTACATCTTCAGTGATAATCTTCATTTAGGGCTGAGCTATCATCATGCAATCCGCCGCCGTGTATAATGTATCGAAAACCAAAGACATGGTGTGGTGGCTATTTTGATAGCAGGCAGGATGAACTCACGACATGCAAAGGCAAAATCTGGTGGGATTCCTCCTGCTGTTGTATATCATTGATGTTGTTGTTGCATTACAAGATAGGAGGAACGTGCCGCTCGTGATCATTGGCCAAGATCGCATTTCTACTGGGAGCAGTGGTGGCGCCAAAATACATCAACTCCCCGCTTCAATTTCTGGCTACTGCTTCACTCTGATCGATCATGGGTAAATCGTCCAAGGACAAACGCGATGTGGTGAGTGTAACAACGACGCATGTTGTCAACCAAGAAGGAATGGCCAACAATGGACTCTATTAGTATTACCGATTAGCCAAAGAACAAGGCTGGCGTGCCCGTAGTGCGTTCAAGCTCTTACAGATCGATGAGGACTTTAACTTGTTTGAAGGTGTGTATCTCTCTCTCTCTATGTCTCTCGCTCTATTCGGTTTGCTTAGACTGACAAAGGAATGAGCTAGGTGTCCACCGTGCTGTTGACTTGTGTGCTGCACCAGGAAGTTGGTCTCAAGTACTCTCCAAAAAGCTAGCGTATGTGGTTTGCTGTTCAATGCGAAAAGATACCTTGCTCATCCTATGTCATATTCCATAGAGACAATCACGCAAAGAATCCTCAAGAGCAAGAACCCAAGATTGTGGCCGTTGATTTGCAGGCTATGGTAAGTTACAAGATGATAGAAGGATACCATCATCATCCATTGACCATGTTGGTGTATGTGTAGGCTCCTTTGGATGGCGTGATCCAATTACAAGGCGATATTACCAAAAAGTCCACTGCCGAGCAAATCATTTCTTACTTTGAAGGTGAAATGGCTGACCTTGTCGTATGTGATGGTGCTCCCGATGGTATGTTATTATGCAGCAACAACAAAATGAAATACATCTAAATGCGTATCACTAGTCACTGGTCTTCACGACATGGACGAATATATCCAAGCACAACTTTTATTAGCAGTAAGTGGATGATGGACATGATGGGAAAGGAGAGGTATTTATGGAGGATCATGGTAGGCATTGAACATTACTACACACGTCTTGCGACCAGGTGGAACCTTTGTGGCCAAGATTTTCCGAGGAAAGGACATTACCTTGTTATATTCACAGCTCAAGATCTTCTTCCCTACGGTGACATGCAGCAAACCACGCAGCTCTCGAAATTCTAGTATAGGTAAGATGGGTATGATTTGGGGGAAAGGAGTTGAATGAAATTCTAATATCGTCATTGTAGAGGCATTCATTGTTTGCCAAGGCTATCAACCCCCCAAGGATTACACACCTACAATGGCAAATCCATTGCTTGATATGCAATATGGTATGTAGTGATCCCTGATTGGTATTCGTATTTCTCATTCTTTCATTGTAGATGAAATGAACGACTTGGTTGGTCCTAACCGGGTGATTGTGCCGTTTATTGCATGTGGTGACTTAAAGTGAGTAGTCAAGAGGAGGAAAAGAGCTTTGGAACATTATTGAAATTGACCTGTGGTATGCTATGATAGTGGCTACGACTCTGATCGCACGTATCCTTTGGATGTAAGTGGAAAAGTAAAATTGAAAGTCGACTCTTTTGCTTATAGGCATTACTCTAGTCATCTCATGCATCGCTCGATCCATTACAACCCCCTATCACTGCACCCTACAAGACTGCCATGGGACTCAAACGTGCCAACTTTTACAACCGAGTTGCCAAATAGATATCTAATGCTATTGTTGTCTTGTACGAATTTCATTTTTTCGTTATTTTTGTATAAAAAAGAGAGATAGAGAGGCAAAGAGAAAGCAAATGGAACAAGGAGGTGGGGGGTAAAATGGACAAAAGATAGAGAAATAAAACTAAAACGACATCATGTTGAAATTATGGCCTGATGATGGAGGTTGTTGTTGTTGTTGCTGCTGTGGTGCTTGCTGTTGTTGTTGAAATTGTCCCGGTGCTTGTGATACTGGACCTTGTTGCATTTGTCGTTGCATCTGTAACTGGTATTGTTGTTGTTGCATTTGCATTGGATGTGGTTGTGGTGCATTGGGTTGTCCTCCAGCGGCGTGTGCAGCGGCGGCGGCGGCGGCGGCAGCAGCAGCAGCAGGGTTCATATACATGTTGGATCCACCAGGCATCATGCCGCCTGCAATTTGTTGTTGAATTTGTGCAGGTGTGATACTGTTGGGTGTGTTGCCACGCTTTAGCATTTCGCGTTCCACTTGTTCAATCTTTGCTTTAAGGGCTAGTCGATCCATGGTCATTTGATGTCGTTCCTTCTCCAACTTTCGCCTTTCATCTTCCACAATGCTCTCAAGTTTCTCAAATTGAGCAACCTTGGTCTGGAAATGTTGCAACTTGGTACGGAATAATGTGTGTGTCAATTGACGTGCCTCCTTGTTTTCTTCTTCTTTCTTTTTGCTCTCCTCTTGTTCTTGTTGTTCCTTTTCATCCTTTGCACGTTCTTTGGGTTCCTGACCAACAGCTGCTGCTGCTACCTCGGGCTTCACTGTGGACGCAAGGAAGGCAACAACGGACATGATGGGGTTCTCAGTTTGGCGGCTAGGATCGTACTGAAGTAAGCCCAATTTTGCAATCTCGGTGTCAACATAGGGGTCCTCGAATGGCAATTGAAGATAATGCAAGATACACTCGTCACGTGTACGTGATCCCACATGATCCGCCACCTTGTTCCAATCCTCTGAATACATCTCCAAGCCTTCCATCAACAATACATTCTCCTGATCAGTCCATGGCTTGGATGGTGCAGCCACCTTTTCTTGCTTGAAATCTTCCAGTGATGTGTCTGAAGGTGCCTTTCCATCTTTGTGACAATCATTGCATAGATAGACGCCCTTATCAATCTTGTATCGCTCTTGACCACATTCTTTGCCACATGATTTGCACTCCACTTTGCTCGATGCCTTGTCGTAAACGTCACGTCGTAACTCCATGTTGGAATCCAATTTGATATTGGCTTTGGATTCATCCTCTTCCTTCCTTGGAGACATTGGCTTATCCTGATGATCCTCATCTTCCTTGTTCTTGGTACCCTCCTCAGTATCCGTATCCATGGCTGTGCCATTTGCCTCCTTCTTCTTGGTGACAAAACCTCTTGGCATATCAGCAACCACCTTGAATTGACCCGAGAAAGGAGGCCCAATGTTGGATGGTTTCATTTCAGGATCCACCTACAAACAAAAAGGCAACCCCTACTAGTTAGTGTCTTTCCCTAACTCTCATCCCAATAGTCATTTTCACATACCTGGTAATTGATCAATCCCCATTGTTCCAAAAATGCATGTACGCGAATAATAGCACAAACATCACCGGTCATGTTTCTTCGGCAAGCTGTCACGGTAAGATACTCGAGCGGATTGAGACGATATGTGTTGACCATGAAATCTCTGTATTCCTTATACACGGATGGCGTCTTTGATTTGTTGCGATTGTTGAAAAACTCGGGAAGTGAACGGCGTTCAATATCATGGATCGATCCAAGTTCAAACCATGCAGCATAAGATGGGATGATAATCTCGTGGGTTTGGACTGCAATGTACTTCTTGGCCATCTCCTTTTGCTTTGCTGCCTCATTCACCGTGCCATTGGTTGTTGCTTGTTGCTTTTCATTATTGTCAGTTGATTGTTGTTGCTGTTGTTGTTGCTGCTGCTGTTCTTCCTGATTGGGCGTACGCGATTTCTTTGCAGGGTTGGAATCGTCGGCCAGCGATGATGATGCCTCGTCTACAGATCGTTTCAAGCTCGTCCTTGGTTCCTCATAAATATAATCCTTGACATTGGCCCACTCATTGAATGCAAAGCTATCCAATACCCAATTGGCTGTGACATTGACTGGAGATGATGTATCAGATGTCGTAGTGTTGTTGTTGTTGGATTCATTGGTCACGTCGTGATATTGTTGTTTGTCAGCCTCATCGATCCATTGGTTGTAAGAATCAGGGCATTTGACAAAATGCACTAGCAATCTTCCATCCTTTTTGTCCAACACTCGAATAGCTCGTGTCGTATCAACGTTGTTGCTCTCCTTGTATACCACATGCGTAGCTAACGTGGCACTACCAGCAATCACACCTAAATTCATACATGTATCCTATCAACCCACATGTCCTTTTGCACGTATATCAATAGACCCCACTTACCACCCATGGCTTGGACCATGCCAATAAGCTGCTGCTTGTTACCAGGATCCACTTCATGATCAAATGCAACGATGGGAACGCGATAGACCTTGGCCGGCTTTTCAAGATAACGCGTGATGTATTTGACCAATTCCACATAGGTGTCTTTTTCCTCTGCTGCGTCGAATTGCCAATCGCTGATACCTTTGTCGGATTGAAAGAGATAGGCTGCCTTGAGGACAAAATACAATGGGGAGGATGTGCTCAGTGGTTGGTTGGCTTCAAGAAATGAGGTGGGGATACGCGCCGGTAATGAATTGACACCGGTGGATCGAATAGCTTGTGCAGCTGCACGACCTAGAGCAGATTGCTGGAATTGTTGGAAACGTGCTGTGAAATGGGCTAGCTCTGGAGCTGTCAGGGTCGTGTCGACGCCTTCGGATTGCAGATCGGAACGTAGATTGTCGACGATGGCTTCAAAGTACGAGATCGTACTTGGCTGGTCATAGTAATGGAAGTCGATGGTGGGTTCAGGTGGTGGTGGTAGTGCAGCCATGGAGTATAAAAATAAGGGGTGGGGGAAAAGAGTGGTGGCGACTGGCTGCTGGTCTAGAGAGAAATAGTGAGAGAGAAAGAAAGAGACACACCGACCTTGGCTCTCATCTTTCACTGGTCGCCGCGTCACGAGAATTGGTTGACTCCTCCTCCTCCCATCCCATCCCATTTCAATATCCGCATATCACATGATCCATCCACCCCACCACCCACCATAGATAACATTGCTATAGCCTGTTAAGAAAATACTGAAATGAAATGCCACTACTCTCAAGGTTTAATGGTCATAAACGTCATGATGAAGGATATTCGAAAGGTTCTCATTCAATCAAGGGATGATGGCTGCTGTATCCATGTGTGCAACAAATGCCAATAATGATACATGATGTAGAATCCAATTTCTTCGTACGTTGTGATGGTTCATCATCCGAGAGTCGTTTGACCTTGACCACCTTCTTGATCATCTCCTTGCCCATATTGGCCATCGCCTTGGTGCTTCTTTGTTACTGATTACAACCTCTAAGCTTGATTGCAGGGAGGCCGTTTTGTATATCATCACCGGTATGCGGACTGTAGTAGTGGATCGTGTCATCAAAACGAACTTTGCATATGCATCTCAGGAGGTAGCTGCCACTGTTTTTTACCTTCTTCGTGACTTTTGCGTCATTAGTTTTTGGTTGAAGCTCGTTTTCGTGTACTGCTTTTCGTTGCGTGGTCTTCCTCCATTAAAAGAACGGGTGTGGGCTTCATCAGGCAAGATGATCTTGGGTTTTACCATAGTAAAGAGCTATCATATTGGCACCAACCAACAATGGAAGTAGGACGGCAATGGAACTTTAAATGCCACCACGAATATGAGTACATGGATCGCTTACAAAGAAGACTACCCACCATGATTACTTACCAAGAGCTTTTGAAGGTGTCAGCAATCAAAGAATGATAAGATGATGGAGGAAAGAGGAGTGTGGGAGCAAAATGAGTGGGTGACAACATTCATCTTGTTTATATATGCATGGCAGCGGTGGGCGTGTGAGAGTGATAAAACGGTTGTTGGGATTGGTGGGCGGCCTTCACAGTAATACCTGGTTCCCAAGTGCCTATGTGATGATTGTCCTTGCATAAATCAGGATCAGCGATAAACAAATTACCCGTCATCAAACAATGACATCCACCATCTACTATCACAAATCACTTGCTATGCTCAAGTTGCACTCTGTTCGAGGGGCGTTCGTTTCATCAAGAAAAGCATTGGCATACATAATGCACGAATTCTTGGAATGCCTAAAAATGGATCTCGATTTCTACCTTCCCCGAATAAAACATGATGTCGAATATTCTAAATTGATCGACCCAAGCAAGTGAATTCTCATAACCAGATACATTTCCTTCTTTCAAAAACCAAATCACACTATGCGGTACAATCACTGAGAGAAAGAGAGAGAACATGGAATAGGGATACTTTTTTGTCGTATTTGGGATAGTTGCTAAAAGAAGAAAATGAAAAAAGGGGGAGGAAGAGAGAGAGAGAAAAAGATATGATGCCAAGATTCTACACATATTGTGACAACCAACGGAAACCATCTCCATAGCCTTGTCTCATCACCACAGAGCACATGAACAATTCAATAGGTCGGATATCCTTGAGAGGCACTTTACCCTAACGCGTATACAATGATAAGCATCCATATACATGTATACAAGAACAACACATCATCCTACCTTGCCAGTGGTTTGGAACATGCCAAGTTGTTGTCTAAGCTCATCTTCACTCACAGCACCGGGAGCATCAATCTTGTTGCCAAGGACGAGGAAGGGGACATTGGAGAGCTGTTCAATGGCAAGAAGAGCCTATAGAAATGGAAATAAGCGTTTACTGAGATGAAAAAAACCACCCTATCCACCCTCATTTTTTATCCATAAACACCTCTCCCGCTCCCATTTTGATGATGATAATGATACTTACATCCAATTCTGCCTTGGCCTCTGGGAAACGGCGGTGATCAGCTGAATCGACAAGGAACACAATGCCTGAAACTTCAGGGAAATAGTCGCGCCATAATCGACGAGCTTGTTGATGTCCACCCAAATCATAGGTTGTGAACTTGACGTTGCCAATAGCCAATTCTTCGGAAGCTACATATCACGCACACATACATACACGCGTGTAAGTCTGTTGTTGCAGATTCGTAATGACCCTTATCGTCGTGAAACACTTACTAGGATGGAGCGTAGGTTGCAAAGTGGCAAGACGGTCATTCTTGAGCATGTGCAAGAGAGTAGTCTTTCCGGCGTTATCGAGACCCAAGAAGAGAATCTTTGCATTCTTGTTAAGGAGGCCTAGACGTGATGTTGGGATGAGTCATTGGAGCCCAAGCAAGGCACTACCCCCCATCTAGTGAATAAACGGTTACCTAAGGAGGACAAGACATCGTAGAACCAGTTGATGATGAACATGATAACTGAATCTGGTTATGTTGTGCAAGAAAGAGGGCGGAAGAGTATGGAAAGAATAAAATAGCCAGCGGGTAGCGCGTCCGGGTTTTGATTGTTGAATGGATTAACCCACAAGACGCACTGGTGCCGCCGCTTTGTCTCTATTTTTTCAGCTGATAATAGCCCAACCACACACAACCACATGTCACATCCTTTTCCCATATCGCCTCCCCTTTCTTCAACATATAAATTACACTCTTTATTTCTTATTCAATGCTTTGTTGATGATGGATGTCGATAAAACACACACCACCGCCAAACACCACATGGCAAGCATCACCCAATAAAAGGTCAAATCGCCTTGGATAGTCCTTGTCACTGCATCATTTAACGATTGCCACATGTCATGAATGGGTGCAATTTGCATATCTTGTAAGCTGCTCTGGATGGTTGTACGAACATCAGCTGCTTCGTATCGAGTCAAGTTAACATGGGCATGCTGTACCTACAATAAGTGCATGAATGAGTTTATGATACATGATAGTCCTTCTTGTTGGCAACAATGATATACGTACAATATAACCAAGTCCTTGTTCAATCTTGTCTATCTTGAACATCATCACGCAATCCAATATATCTTTGGCTGGTTGCTCGAGAATAGTACCGCCCAACGTCGTTTGTACAAAGTCAGTGACATGTTGCGTCACAACACCCAATGTTGAATTGGCTGCTGTTGCTATGGATCGCACCACGCCAAATGCATGTTCATTGATATCTTGCTCAGCGTGTGTGATCCAGCTATTGATTTCCTCGAGTTGCGTATCCAATTGCTGTAGAGCGGAAGAAGTAGCAGACCCAGCAACGTCGGATGTCCATGCATTGGCAGCTGCATCAAACCCCGGTGTGAGCCCAACCAGTACTTTGTCTATGATCACATGCAATGTATAGGTACCAACAAGACCGACAACGCCCACCAAAAGACAATAGACGGCATACCGGTGGATGGCCAATGTACGAATCCACCTTGCCATTCGACTATGAGGATCCAACAGAGTGCTTGCAGCGTGTTGATGTGCATCCCCAAACAGTGCCAATTCTTGATCAAGGGCGTGTTGTTGTTCCTTTCGCAAAGCACGATCTTGTTCTTTGACGTCGTGTGTTGTTAGGTCATATGCAAGTTGACGTCGCCATTGGGTGAGAAATTGAGATCGACGACGCATGTATAGCATATTGATGCAGATAATAACAACAATAAAGAGCACCACAATCACAATGCAAATGCAAATGACGGTATGCAGCTTTGTTTTGGTGTCATCCAATGCATTGACAAGTGGTTCAGCAGTGCACCATGTTGTTGCATGCATCTTTTCATCGGAGGAGGATGCTATTACACCGGCGGTTTCATTGTTGTTGTTGTAATGAGGTGGTTTCCATTGTCCCAAACTTGCTTGGATGTCCTCTTTGATCTTTTCAAAGGGTGCACTCACCAAGGCATTCAATGGGTCATTTTCTCCCTTGGTCCATTGTTCCACCTTTTGTTGCACATCTTGCATACCGCCTGCCCAGTCACCTAGTGACACATTTGGCTGCTGCTGGTTCGGCTGATTATTGCCGACAAGCTGTTGGAGTACATTGGCACCGCCTTGAAGAATATTTTCAGCCGTTTCTTGGACTGGGCCGGCAATTTTCGACACAACGGACATCACTCCATTTACAGCAAGACCCAATAAGCATCGAAACGTCGACTTGTATAGTCCAATGATCCATAAAACAATGCCTTCAAGGGTATCAATGGCTGTAATTAAACCACGCAGCAAATTGTCGGCTGTTGTTTGCATTTCGGTGTAAGCTCGTTCACGCAACACCGCTGGAATGCTTACTACACGTGCTGCTGCTGCATTCATATCGTCACATCCACGATGTGCAATGGCTTGTGCTGCTGCTATTGTCGAGGTGATGGATGCTTGAACTTTACACATTGTCACCAGGACCGGTATTAATGCCAAGGTGGCCATGTTGAGCCATGCTAAAGTATAGTGTTGTTGAATCATTAGAGGAATAAAATGAGAGTTGTGGGATGGTAGATCGCTTTCTTTTCTCTGCTTGATTATATACAAGCATTGGGTTCATGGATGATTGTTGTCTCATTCACTGCTTGGGTGTCATTGTTGAGATTCAGCACCGTCATCATGGTCTTATTGTGTCCTCCTCCTCCTCCTCTTGGAGGTGGTGGTATTATTCTTATTACCATGCCTGCATCCATTCACACCTTGCTTTCCCCATTGTCTGTATTACTACTTTTTTCCCTTTACCCCCTTCAATGTTGTTGTTTCCATGCATTGGTTGTGTAAGGGCACACGTTTCCTAAATAGTCAGGATCGTCAATTAACAGCATTGGCTGCTTGTTTGTTTCTGTGGGAGGTGGACAAAGGCAATGAAATGACGACGAGGGGATTGGGTTCCTTTTGACGCATGCTCCTTTTGATACGTGTGTATAAATTAAGAAAGAGTCCCTTACGCACAAACCACCCATCAACGAGGCTGTACAGCAGATGAAGGAGCTGTCTCCTTTTTAATGAAACACACCATATTTACCATGCATCTACATACTAAGAAGCATAGAATGATGCAGATGGACGACCATGTGAATTGTTTTCTTATTCTCAACATCTCCTTTAAGGGTTTATTGTATGTTTCTATTTACACGCGCTCGTATACATAAGGAAGAATGAGCATTGGGCTACATACATATATATGTGGATGATGATGCATTGACCCCCCCACCACCATTCTCTATTTAGATGTTGTAATATAAAAATCCAGCAATCCGGAAGAGAGAAACCCTTTGAGTTTCTATGCATGTCATATCATAGAGGGAGAAAACCATCCTATGGATGCAGATGGCGAAAAAGATAAATGAAAGAAGGAGCGTATATGTGGTGGGGATGATGTATTCATTACATTGAAAAAGTGCTGTTGTGAGTGTATGTATGTATATGTATCTTTCATCAGAAAAAGGCAAAAGGACGTCGATTGCAATTTGGAGTTGTTGTCGGATCCACAATGCTTGGTAAACTTATACAAGATGATTGCACTGGTGCATTGTGATGATGTTGCTGCTGTTTAACAGGGTGCCGGGATGGGATCACCATTGCGTTGGCATGCTGGTGGTGGTAAAAATATGAAGGAGGAGTGTTGCTTGTGCTGCATGTTGATGATGATGAATCAATCATCACACGGTGGTGGTGTTGTTGTGGAGGGGTCAAGGGAGGCGCTACTGGTGTTTCAAACAAGGATAGCACATGCTGTTGGTGGTGGTAGTGATGATGCTGTTGTTGGTAAGTGTGCCTCGTTTCTGCTCCCCAACGGGGGTTGACGAGTGATAAAGAGGGGGAGGAACTATTGCTGGAAGAGCAAGAAGAAGAAGGGCTGTGTATCTGTTGCTCAAGCCATGCATCACAGGCTGTGTATCGATCCATATATCCATGAGAAACGCCATAGTATCCAAGGTGTTGCTGATGTTGATCCATGGCATGGCGACGCTCATCCAAAAAAGGAAGCCATTGTATACGTGATTTCTTCTTTTCATTTTCACTGCTACTACTGCTAGTGGATCCAGAAGCTGGATGCTCCTGTTTCATATGTTGGATCAATGCCGTTTTACGTACAAAGCCTTTGCTGCAATTTTCGGCTGGGCATCGATAGGGTTTCTTGCCAGTATGGATACGTCTACAAAGCAACCCTCATCAATAGGCTGTTGCTATGACAATGATCCCGAATCCTTACCGATGACGAGCAAGAGAACTGCTGTCGCTGAATCGTTTGCTGCATGTTGGGTATTCGCATACATGTGGTTTCTCGCCTGTGTGTGTTCGCATATGTACCGTTAATGCGGATCGCTATAGTATATACAAAAGTGTGAGCATTTATTACACTAGGATTCTTTTCTTGGCACACATACCTGAATAAAGCTGCGATTGCACATGAATTGACGACACTTGAAGGGTCGATCATTGGTATGAATCCGTGAATGTCGCACAAGATCGGATCTTCGAGCTTTATTGATCAAACATGGAAGGATCGGTAAGCCATATTGCCGTGCACTCTTTTTTTCCCTCGAGAATTGCTTTACCAAAGCTTTTATCACAGCCATCGAATCGACAATGAAAAGGACGATCATTGCTATATGCACCGGATTGGTTGATGATTTCTGAGATTTCCATGGCAACGAGTAACAAGGTGGAAAAGCAAAAAGTGGGAAACGGAGGAAAGAAAGATGTAGCAAATGCATTAAACGAGAAAAGGATCGCCCTTTTATATGAATGAAGCAGCCACCACCTTGTATGAAACGAGCGTTTAACCCCACAAAGAGACACACGCACGGTAAGAAGTATGCCCCTAATAACGAATGTGCAACCATATCTAACACGCATATTCATCAATGTTGCTGCTGCTGTAGCTGCAGCAGTGCGTGGTTGCATAAGTGTGATGTGTACGTTCTCCTGATGCTCATCAACCTCGTCATTATAGCAGTGCTTCACGTCAAAAGATAAAGGGCAGCATAGACGATCGTTCCATAAAGAAGCGTAGTACTCGAGTAATAAAGATAGAGAGTTCATGAGAGTGAGAGTGAGAGAGAGAGCTAATCTCCTCATCACCACAAACCATGCTCACGTCCCTCGCCATATGTTTCCCTTTCCTATCATCCTCATAATGACGATAGAATTTTTCATTTCATCTCCTCCGGATTATGGGTGAACGTCGAGTAAAATATGTGTGTGTGCCCGTGAGCCCCTTGGGGAAAGTAAAGTTTGCATGCAAAAGTCCAAAGCAAAAGCTCGTGTTGATGTATTGTAATATGCGTGTACGTATTGATAAACGCCGCTATCGGTATAGCAGTAGTGGGCTAATCATACACGTTATTCAACAACGCCATCATTATGCAAGCGATAATGATACATACATTTAGCCCAGCTCATGTACATGAAGCATGCTTTGGTTGTTCCTGTAAACACGTCACTCTTGATCTACTGCTGCAATGCATAATTGACATTGGAGCATGCACACCACTTCCATTCTTGAGATAGATTATGTGTCAAGCTTGCCTGTTTTCCATTTGCCATGGGGGATACACGGGCATGTGTGAATTAAACATGATCGAATCAAAGGGAAAAATAACACCAAAGAGAAAAACTAAGGGGTAAGGTGCAGGGGAAAGTCAAGGGCAAATGGCCTAAACGCTCTTGTTTACCGGGTGTTGATGGTTGTGTGTGTGTGTGTGTGTGTGCGTGTGTGTGTAAAGCCATCTCCTATTTCGTTCCTCCACGATACATTGTTGAGGAGTGAGACTAAATGCGACATCTCTTCTTCTCCCATTGGTTGTGTCCCCCTTTTTACCCTTCATCCCTGGAGACGTCAAAGCAGCAGAAGCAGCATTACTTGTAGTGAAGAATAGTAACACAAATGGACCGTGCCTTATCATCCCGCCATTTCTTCTGTCATTGAGCATGCATGCAATTTCGCTCTCTTTTACTCTCACTCACTCACACCATTCTCTTCCACTCTCTCACATTTCCCCTCTACATAGTACTCTTCTCTCCTTCTGATTTCGTTTTTGGGGGGAAACATACATTAGTATACATACACACATGTGCTCTCGAGGATCAAGGAACCGTCTCATGCATGGGCCACATTTCTTATCGCGCTCTTTTCATAGTATTCTCCCATAAAGAAAACTGGCCCTGGTGCTCCTGAACATTTTCATAAGTCTCGATGACATTTGGAGCACATCGCCGGTCATACTTAGGGATCACAGTAAATGAAACATACACACGCAAAGCCCATCTTTTTTGTGTTGCCGAGATAATACATACATCCCTTATTGCTATACGGCACGAACCTTGGAAGATGCGTATGGTAAAGGCGTGCATGAAGGAGAAGGATGGGCATTTTCCCTCATCAACCACCTCCTCCCCTTGCACTCTCTTACTCATATTGGCATGATATGGGTAGGTACATGCAGTCATAAAGAAAACCGGTTTCAGGTGTGCATCCTACATGATGCATGTCATTCAAATGGGCGGGTTGGGTGGATGAATCCAGATCATTAGAATTTATTACATGGAGAGTGAGATTAAGAGTAAATAATTTAAAATCAATGCTTGCATGCATATTACATTAACGTTGCTCCTATCCAATTGTATCGTTTGTATGTGTATGCCGTGGTGTATAAAAAGAATGTGTCAATGCAATTGCTGTATAGGGTGGATTGTGTCGAGAAGAGTGCGTAATGGATGAAATGCGATGATGGTGGTGGGTGGTGGTGGAGGAGTGAAAAAGGATCGATCTACAAGCCAAATGTAAGGGATACGGTGTAAGTGAGTGTGTGTGCGCGCGCCTTTTGCCCAAAGTTCACAACTTTTTTCTCATCCAATCTCATGATGACCCCCAGGTACACATAACACGCACCACACCCCTTCACATCCTCCTTCTTCCTTTCACGCTCTCTCCATTCAGCTCCTTCCATCCCCTAAGCTCTGTAAAAATCGTACCATAAAGCTGTGTTGTGCGTTCGTGCTCGATATTGCTCCTTGAATTGCTTCACTGTTTGTTTTGAGGCGTTGCTGGTGTATAATTTCCTGACTTGGCGTATAAACCGATCATCATCCTCTACTGACAGGGTAGATCCAAGGATCGCCAAACAATCCTCCATGTTGCCTTTAAGTAATCGATCTACAATGACGACAGGCATATTAGTATATGCGAGGAGGAATACAATACTATCATCATACCTTGATGTGTTTTCAACAATGCCAATGCAACGAAATAAAAGATGTCATAGCCAACCAAAAAATAAATATCCAGTATTCGTAAAAGTGTATGGTATGGAACGACACCACCCGTAAAGAGAGTAATGTACCAGCGTGTTGCATACGTTGCACTACTGACATCCTTGGCATGCTATATTTGGATTCCAACAATCAGCTGGTGGGGAGCTTCTTTTCATGGATGACCAGATGACATACCAGATGCCTTGCCAGTTTCGGTAGATTCTTTTCCAGTAATCGTTCTTGAATATAAAAGCTTTCCATCAAAGACGGGAATCCTGGGACAAACAAGTCGTGCAAACCATCACGTTGAAACATGTGCACTAGCGCTGTAAAAGCTTTCTAAAGAAGACTGTGGTTGGTTTCATATCATCATTCGCGCCGCCATTGATACTGTAACCCACCTCTTCCTCGAAATAAATGAGGAGTAGAGCAGCAACATTAGCCATTCCTTGACAATAGCCGACTTGCTCGTCATATATCGAAAATGCACGCAAGACATTGAATAGAGCCCGTTGCCTTGATGAAAATCCACGCTATTAGATCCTTGCATGATTTGTACATCTCGGAGATGTATATACTTTACCCTTGACCATAACGTTGGCGAAACATGATATGACCATACATGGTTCTCGGGATATCCAAGTCAATCTGCCTCTCGTGTGATGATGATTCCGTTAAGAATTCCTCCTATTACTACCATGATGAGTTCGAAAACAATAGCCACCGCGCCTCACCCCCATCCTCAGGAGATTGATTACCTTGTATCGCATGCGGAGATCATCATCATCATCATTTGCCGTGCGTAACTCATCCGTCAACATGCAATACCTAATGATAGCCAGCCATCTTAGTATCCTATTAGCGTTTTCTTTGTATCTTTTTCCAAACACAATTACCATGCATCACGTCGCCAACAATCAGGAATACCCTTGTAGACTCGTTTCACAAACTAATAGAATGCATCATGCGTCGCGGTGGTTAGTAAGATTTCTTCTCCTTGTACCCTGGGGGCGGGGTGGTGGAGATGGACCCAAACCTTGGTACTGTGAATATCGAATCGATGTACTATTTCTTGTCTCGCCGAGTATGGTTCAGCCATGGCATGCCATTTGGATGATCGTTCGACTTCTTTTTGTATGGATCTATCATAGGTGAGTGAGCGAGGATTACAATGCGATCATTACAAAGGGGGCGGGAAAAGATGAATTACTTTGGATCAATCTCAGTTTTATCTTCCAAGAAGCCGTATCTAGGATACCAATGTAAGAAGGATGCATGCATGCATGTGCATATGAATACTGCTTCATACCTGTCAGCATCAGCAAACCACTTGTTCATCTCGGTGGCTACATCCGGCACAGCTTCAGGTACAACCATATAGCTTTGTCGAATTTCCTGCTGTTGTTGTTGCTGCCTATTGGGTGATGATATCTTTGCATTGTTCATGGCTTGAGGTGGCGGTGGCGTGCTCGTTATGGATCGTTCGGGTGTCATTGAAGTATTGGCCGTCATTTCAGTGAGATCAGACTCGTGTTCGGAAGATTCTTTGGTCGCATGCGATGACAAGGTGCATTGAGTATCGTGTACAGGGTCGCTGATTGCACTCATGGCGCGCGTTTATGATATGCTCGAAGAGTGTGTAACAAGGGGAAAAAGTATGAAAAGGGAGGAGATGTGATCGGTGTGGAAGAAAGAGAAAAAGAGAGAGAGAGAATACAAGTCAGTCTTTCTCCTGTTACAAGGCATATAATGAAATCAGCAGCTGGTGGTGGTGCGTGTGGGTCACAAAGGGGGTGTAAGCATGACCCGAGGATGTGTGTCACTCGCTCTTCCTCTTTGGTGCACATGATGAAGGAATTCTTTCAACGCGTCCATGATTGATACGTATCGTTGTATAAAGCAGATCAAATTTGACATGATTGTATTCCTCTAAAATTCATGCACGTCGATCCCATCCGTGCTTGCCCATTTTACTAACCCAACCCCCCTTATTCGTATGACAAAGAAACCTAATATCAATACTCGTATTTAATACTACCTTTTCCTTTTGCTTGGGTAATCATATTTCATCACAACATGCCGTTTACTATCATGTCTCCTTTATATGCTCCTACTACTCATCACACAATCAAATATCTTGAAATGGTCGTCTTTTCCTTGTTGTTGAGCAGCCAATGCACTTTTAGCCCTTCCTTGTCACACAATGTATGATGCATTCTTCTTGTACATCTATTATGAAGGATTCATCCTGACGTTAGGCACATGTTGTATAGGAATGGGCTATAGCTGTTGGTGCCTTAGCTCTTGGATAACTTTGCTCTAAAAGGAAATGCCAGGTTGCAAAGTCGATTGGGTGGTTTCATTGTTTGTAATGCCATGCACAGTAATCTCTTGGACAAGGAATAGCTGGAGAAGTTGTGATGATGATAGGACATCATTTGAAGATGGACAATGCCACCAGCACTAATTTTAGCTACCCCATCACCTAGCCTCTTTGAAAATGAACAAGGCGTTTCATTGTATCCCACTCTTTCATTGTCATTGCCGTCATTGTGATATGTTTAAAAGGTAAGAAGCTCATACTCTTTTTGATAGCTTCATAATAAAAAGTACTGCTCATAAAGGCCTTAAGGGTGTCAAAGATGAGATGGTGGACTTTTTGGCTGTGCACTTGTTAGCAAATTAGCTTTACGATAGCACCCTAGTATCCCTTGCATGCAAATGCATTGCATAGTAGTATAGTTATGCAGCAACAATTTGATCTCAATCCCATCCATCTTGGACCCAACCTTTATAACTTTATCCATTTATCATGATACCATCATCATCCCATGCGTTGTTGAGTGAAACAATAATTACACATTTTACATTTTGTATTGCGAGTTGTTGTACGTGGTGTGTTTGGGCAGCTATGAGCAGGAGAGTTTGGGTGTGTATAGATGGAACATGTAAAGAAGAAAAAGGGGGACATGGATGAACAAAAAAAAGGGGAATTTGGGTATGTAGCATGCTTCTTGTGACGGAACATGGCATGCGAATTAAATAAAATGTGTTGTATACAATAAGAGGGAAAGAGAGAAGAAGATCACTTGCTGCCTAGCCAGTTGGTGGCACCAAAGGTGGTACCACCCACTTTCCAATCACCGTCAATGTCAGGCGATGTACCACGAGCACCAATGTCAACGATGGAGGCATTAAGACCCAGGGCATGACTCTTTTTACGCCGCACGGCTGCATATTCAAGTGCTGGGACCTGCAGTGATCGGGATCGTCTTACCGAGGATGATGAGGATGATCCACCACCTCCTGCACTACGTGACGTGCGTAAGGATGGATAGGGTATTGGACGAGGTTGACTTGTACTTGCACCACTACCACCACCACCATGACTACTACGTGTCCTTGGGAAGCTCGACGGTGGACCATAGCGATCCAAATCACTTCTTTTGCGACGAATCACGGTTGGCTTTGCTGCTGATGAAGATGAAGGTCGATCATTGATGTATTTTGCAGTGATGGATTCATGCGATATTGAACGCACCAACGTCTTATCTCTTGATGATGGATCATGTTGCTGTGATACTACTACTGCTGCTGTTGCTCCACCACCACCACCATTGTTGCCATGACCACCCAATTGAAACACACTGGTGAGCCAAGCTAAGGCACCTCGTTCTGCTGCCGCTGCTGCCGCTGCTGCACGTCGACTTTCACGTTTCTTCAAGACCTCTTCTTCAGCACGAATGTCTCTCTCCTTGACCTTGTTGACATACTCCACTTGAAGATCATTCATGGTGATACGGAGCTGACCCACTTCACATAGGATATCTTGAATGGCACGCATTGTTGGAAAGAAATCCTCCATGGATACATCGTGTCGCCAAACTTCTTCATCTTGTTGATCAACCCATGTAAAGCGATCTCGAAGGTTTTCAATGTCCTCAAGAATATTTTCAATGATCGAATTGCTCATGGTGCTTAGTTCAATGATATCAAAGGCACGGCGTAGTCGTCGATTCAGGGCTCGGATATCGGTGGCTCGTAAACGTTCCAAAGTTTGAGCAATGTGGGTCTGTAACATGTGATACGGTGTGCTGTTGGTGCCACCATCATCCTCTTCAGCAATGGGCTCGCTAGCAAGGGTACCAGCAGTGGTAGCTTGAGATGTTAAAGAGATGGAGTTTTTCATGATGGGCATTTGGTGCTGCTGCTGATGCTGATGGTGCTGCTGTGCAACCACAACATTATCCTAAATAAAGTGAAAGTGTTAGAAACATATAGATGTTTAATATGGATGCAGCATGTCTTACACTGTCTTCTTCCAAAACAGGTGGTGATGGAGGTGAAGATGATGATGATGCGTCCTTTTCATGTTGTTGATAGGGAGGTGAGGCTGACACATGCTGTTGCTGTTGTTGTTGTTGCTGCTGCTGATGCTGCTGATGCATATGCAAATGGAAATGATGGTGTACTACTGATGTCGCACGGCTACGAGTAGGCATGGATGCTGATGAAGCGGGTGATGGCGCTTGTCTCAAATTGGAAGATGGAGGAGGAGTGGATTGTGATGAATCTCTGGCATTGATGATAGTTGTAGAACGACGTAATATCCGTGGTGGTTTGTTGCCTTGGTGTTTGCGTAGTCTCCAACGAGAGGTATTCATCGCGTGATTGTTCTGATCGTTGTTGGGTGCTGAGATGCTTAGATACCGAGCCTCTTCGTCATCATGCATTTGATGTTGACATGTGCTGCTGCTACTCTTTTCAGTCGTAGATGTGGGATGTTGTCCTATCCAATCATCCAATTGTTGTTGTTCTTCCATTGGACTGCCTCCTCTCTCCAACTCTTCAATGCGGCAATTGAGCGTAATCACTTCATGGCGTGTATCAGATAACAATTCGCGGCATTCAATCAAGTCGCTTTTGAGTTTGCTATTGGCAGATGCAAGTTCCTTGATAAGCGTGATCAGCTGTGGTGATTGTTGTTGTTGTTGACTCTGGCTCAGCTGTTGGGTCTCCTCCTCTCCCAATGCTGTCGCTGCTGCTTGTGGAATGGCCATGGCTGATGTCAGCTATTAAATATAGATGCAATGCATACATATGCAAATCATTAGAAAAAGTTCCGTCGATCTGTCGGTTCTCCTTTGTCACCATCCTCCACCACCACCACTCTCCCATTATTGCCCCTGCTGCTGCTGCTGCTTCTTACCTTAAGCACATCATTCCGCAGCTTCTCATTCGACTCTCGTAGCCAAGCCAAGTTGAGTTGCTTGTCATCGGGTGTGATTCCGAGCTCCTGATGGCTTGTCTTAAGTCTCTCATATGAACTGCACACCGTTTCTATCATATTTGTAAAGAGAAAAAAGGGAGATCAGATGCTGCTTGATGCATACACATAACATGTTGGGTGGTATCATCCGTTACTTACCATATCTTGTCTTCAGCTTCTTGTGCTTGGATTCCAATGTCAATTCCGCTTTGCGTGAAATAGCCAGCTCTTGCTTTGTATCCTCCAACTATGCATAATCCATTATCAACCACCATCCATCACTCGTCCTGTAGTGTGCCTATGTCATTTACCTTTGCACGTAGACTCTCTTCACGAATGTCTGCTTGCCGTACCATGAACTTAAATATCCGAAGTTTGTCGACTTCAATCGTCTCAGCCTTCAGGTCGTTGGAAAGCTGTACACAGCGTGCATTGGCTACCTCCAAATCTGATACGGTTTCACGCAGCGTCTATTTTCCAATGATGAGAACTTTTGACCCAACAACAACAACAAAAAGCATTCCATAATTACCTTTTCAGTCTTTTGTAGCTCCCAGGTCATTTTGTTGTTCTTTTCAATGAGTTCCTTTCTTGTATTGTCTGCATCCTCGAGGAGTTGTTCCAGCTGTCGTTGCTTTTCGCGTGATTCTTCAAGCTAAACACGGCAATATTGTTTCAGTCCATCGGTTACACAAAGTATGCCTCGCGCGTTTGTGTGTTGTAGCACCCCAGGTGTACTCCCAAACACGTCTTTTGATAATATACCTCTTGTTCCAAAGCATCCTTGATTTGATTTGATTCCACCACAAAAGTCTCATGCTTGTGAAGTAGGCTTTGCCCGATTTCTACGATGATCGGAAGAAATTAGGAGATCGTCGTCATGGCGTCCCATCCATAAGAAAGGAAAAAAGGAGGGGATGGGATGATGGGAAAAGATGATGCACATTGAAGAAGGGGGAGAGAGAGAGAAATAGAATGGATCATGCATTTTCGCGTGGTGGATGGCAAATGGCGCTTTCGGCGGGTTAAGAAAAACGAGGGATGAGAAGAAGGGTAGGAAATAAACCCTTACCAGCAGCAAGACGAGCGTCTCCCTCCAACTTTCGCACACTAGCTGTCAGTTTCTCAAACGAATCGCATTCAAGGTGTCCACAGCAACAACATGTCGAATCGAGAATAGTGGGTGAATGGCTTGCTTCTGATATACTTCGAGAGAGCCAGTCTTGCAGTGATTCCTCAATGGAAGGTGAGTAGATTGTCGACCCTGCCGTCGTATTGACATCTTGGTGAGGTGTATTGACAATCGGTATAGTGCTAGCTCGGTTAACACCCATACGGGCGCGCGATCGTTGACGATGCAAAGACATTGGGCTGCTGCACTCTTTTTTTGCTGGTGAGTTGGGTTCAGAGGAGGTTTTGGATGTTGGTAGGATGAGGAGGAGGAACTACTACTCACACACACATGCGAGCGCGTGCAGTAGAATTAGAACGCAATATGGTTATTGATGGAAAATAAAAAGACTAGAGTCGATAAGCAAATTGGGAAAGAGGAAGGAAGAATTGTACTTTGTGGAGAAATAAAGGGTGAAAATGGGATGTTGTTGTTGTTGTAAATGTATGTTTAGTTTGTTGGTGATGGGGCTGCTCTCTTTACAAGAGCAACAAGAATTGAGTAAGAGTGTATAAGAGAGCGATAGGGAAAAAGAAAGGGAGCAACATATGCGGGAGAAGCAGCTGAACGTTTTATATATATCATAAGACACGCACACCTCACCTCACACACACACACACACACAATCGGCATAGACAACGACGACGATGTGATATTATGTCCTATTTAGGGATTAGTACCGCATGACGCTTAGCTGCGCTGCCTGCCTTTTGACGCCGCCGCTGCCGCTGCTGCTGGGATATATAAGTAAACGACTTGCGGCACAAGGAGATGCAGGCACAGCACAACACAGCAATTGCTACATACGACGAATAAGAGGCACGAATCAAAATGCAAAAAGAACAAGCACCGACAGGGCCTAAATGGGATATCCCGGGCAACCAATCATTGTCGTCATGCAATATAATGACTACTGTTCACCTTTTCGCGCACATGGCCCCCACATCCCAATATAGCAAGCATCTTTTTCTCTCTTTCCCTACCATCCTCATCATCTCAATGTACTTTCAATCATGGGTCTTAAGATAGTGCCACCCGCCACAATAACACAAGCATGCTTTTTGGTTAAGCAACAACTGAGCATTTTAGATGACTACAACTACTACTAGCGTAAAAGAAGTAATAGCTGACAGGTCATGTCGAAAGCTACACATCCAGAAATAGAAGGAATTGGCTTGTCGATGACATGAACGAAGAAGCATATGGATCATACATCATTGGGCGTAATATCGCATCCATGATATTGGCTCCTCTCTTTATTCAACATAAGCCTTATCCATGCATGATCTACTACAAATACAATTTTGATTGTTCAATCCTATTTGCTTGCAGCTAAAGCTAACAATGAACGTATTCTCTAGTGCTGGTATTGACCACGACAAGCGATTATTACTGAAACCCATCATCTCTTTATGGGTGATCTCCAAAGGGGTATGTGTATGTGTGCGTGTGTCAGATGACAGCTGCGTTTCGTTGCACAAGCAGTGGGTGATGTAATTGATTCGATTCTGCCCGACAATAATGAGACACATTCTCGAATCACCTGAGCTTTGTTGCTACGTGTACGAGAAAAAGCTTGTTGATCAAACAAAAGATGATTCGTGCAACACTATCCAACTCCGTTCCTGGAACTCATACACGCGTTTCCTTCATATTACTGATTACGCATCTTTTTCTTATACGCGCAAGGGCTAAGGGAGAGGATCAATTATTGCTGCCGATGAACATGCAGGCTGTATATCGAAACTACCTGGGTCACGTTATCGTCTGGTCTCTGTGCTGCTTGTGCATGGAATCTCTTATTGTTCAACCACCAACCTTATCTCTCCTTGCATACATAACGTACCTGTGGCTGCTGAAAGCAAAAGATCTACGCACACAAAAAGTAACGCGTAATGCATGTGTGTTCGGAGATCGTTGAGATTAGCAATGCATAGGAGCATCATCTTCTTCAAAAATTGTACGGGGTGGTTGGAAACGTAAGATACTACTAGTCTACACACACATGAGAACGCCGATGTGGCTCTTATCTTGTTTTTTTTTATTATTGAGTGTCATCATTAGGCGGGAAAAGTCAAACTTGCTCAATAACCAAAAGCATAAAGTTTTACAATACATGCCATCCGAGAATGTCCCCCATCAAAGATCTCAACAACCCCTGACTTTTTACTTTTCGCTTAGCTCGATAAATTCATGCTATGTAGTGAAGAATGATATTATATTTGATGTTTGAATCAACTATACTGTGGAAATGTCTCGGCCAAATAGTGCTGCTTTCGACCAATCCATACTCAGATTCAACCTCGTACGCATGCTAACTTGCTTGCTCCAATACACGCTTCGCCATAGATACATGGCCCATAATCCACCCACCATCTTGTATCCCCATCCAAACTCGCCTACAGCGGTATTGCCAAGGTATGCCAAAGCACCAAGATTACGATACCGGAATGGTCCAACGGTTTCATCGATATCCTCATCGCCCTTGACGAGTTGTGTAAGGAGCTTGCCGATATAGGCGCCTTGCTGGTTCGCTAATTGTGCCGTCTAAAACGATTTTGGATGAGCTCAATACGTGTTGGATTGACATACGAATTGCGATGTACGACTTACAGCAGGATAATGAGTCATCTTTTTGTCAATGTCGAGCAGCATTTGTTTCATTTCCTCAATATCAAGGGTGCCACTTTTATCAACATCATAGGTCTCAAACATCTTGACAAGTTCACCAATATGCTGTCTTGAGAATGGATATTCCTTTCGCATGAAAGCGATGGCATCAGCGAATTCGTCAAATTGTAGTACACCATCTTTGTTCCTTAAAAAGTCATCACGTGGTGAGTATACTTGCTTTCCATCACGTGCCACCACACACACACTTACTTGTCTGCTGTCTCAAAGATCTCCACAATGTGCTCCCTAATCTTTGGATTCTCGACAGTGGCACAATCTCCGATAGCAAATACGGATGCATCTTCCACACCTTGCACACGACAAAAGCAATCGGTTTGCAAAGCACGAGTGTGTTGTTGAATACCAAGCTTCTCAGCAAGGTTTTTCACAAAGGGGGTCATGGCTAAGTGTGATAATACATAAGCATCATACATACCCATGGATGAATAAAAACATGCTTACCAATACCAGTAGACCACATGCACAATCCATACGGCACTTCTCTATAGACCGGTGGATCCGTATTCTTGTATCGGTACACGACCTTGTCTTCGTCAATGCGTTCCACACGTGCATCAGTAACAACGCGAATACCGCTGCGTTCAAATCGTCGTTGAGCGTATTCACTGATCTTGACATCAAATGTGTTGAGAATATGATCCCGTGATTGGATGATGGTAACCTTGATATCTTCTCTCAAGATCTTGGGGAACTACAAGAACGTTCAATCAGTGATGCTGTTTCGAATAGTAAGCGTTGTCATTATTCCCTTACCCATTTGACAAGATCCTCATTCATCCAATCATACAATTCAGCGGCAAATTCAACGCCTGTGGGGCCACCACCACAAACAACAAAACTTAGCAACCGTTCTCGTTCTTCTGGAGGAGTGGATGGTAATGCGGCCTTTTCAACATTCTTGGTGATCCTGCGTCTTACAGAAATGGCATCTTGGATTGTCTTTAAGCGGAAGGTATTCTCGAGCCCTTGAACACCATGTGTGATGCTGGTTGATCCCACAGCAATAACAAGCTTGTCGTATGGCACATAAAAGTTTTCCTTGCCATCTTGACTTGTTACTTCTACCAGCTTATGCTCCAAATCGACGTCAACAGCACGACCTTCAAGGAAATGACCATGTACACGTGCAACAATTTTACGCAAAGGTTCAAGCAAGGATCTCATTTCAAGTGTGCCCTGTATATACCATGTATGATTAAACGTCATTGTTGCTTGTCCATGCATCATGTCTATCTTACCACTGTGGCACTTGGTAGCAGGGGAGTGAACAAAAAGTAATTGTTGTCACTGATCAGCGTCACGTTGTAATCATCTTTGTTGAGGTTCTTGATCGTTGATACAGCACCCCAACCTCCACCGAGAATCACCAAACGCGGCTTGTTCAACTTTTGCATCGTCTCAGGTTGATCATCATCAAGTTGATGAGTGACAATCGGAAGGTTCTTTGTGCCACCCGTCACTGGATGAAGGGCCAATGTGGGTACATGCTTGTGTGCGCCTTGTGCAATACCAATGTATTCAATGTCATGTCGCATATAATAAACAAAACCTCCTGCCAACCCGGCAATGGCTGTCGCTGGCAAAATCACGCGTGGACGAGTAATTCGATGAATGGCATCACGTGCATGTTGCCATATGTAACGACGCATGGTGTGGTATGGTATATAACAATGAGCAAAGAAAAGGAACAATGGGGGAAAAAGAACAGCAACCCAAGCGAGAACCAGACAACACAATGCACACAAAGCTATCCACCTCGGATAAATTATAGAGTCAATGGAAGATTTCCTGGGGTTTCAGAATGATATGATCGTCATTTTTTATTGCAAGGGATTGCGAATTTGATGGATTAACCGATCATGGCAAGGTACACCCCACTACGACGAAAATCTTGTATCATGGATAAATAGAAAACCCAGCTTGTACAACATGCTGCTCTCGTATGCTGCATGATTGCTTGTTTGTTGTGTAGCGATGATGCAAGGTCACGTCAAGTAATCATTCCACTGGCTGGCTCCGCATTGGGTCCGAAAATAAGGCGAGAAGTGGAAATCGTAACATCCGAATCATCATGTTGTCAGCATCCCAAAAGCAATTGAAAGTTCCACCATGTTGGCAATGGATGAAATGAGTGCCATAATGATATCGGTTGTAGAATGCGTTGGGTCCCTGATGATTGTTGTTTGAATGAAAAAAGGACCTATCTCGCTATTGATTCAGCTGCTGTCGATGCTTCTGATGTGGTTTTTGTCACTGTTGCCGAAGGCGAGAACTCCATGAGCACCATTTCAGTATCGCCATTCCTGCCCACACCTTCGGCAAACAACTTGTCGGTATCATTCTTCCATGTGTCTGGTATGATTTGGGATTTGCTGTGCGATAACACCATTGACTCACACCTATAATACCAAGCTCCCTTATTAGTATATCAAATCAAACATCCTTAGAAGAGCTCTTACATACCAGCTGAAGACAATGAGGTTGTTTGAGGCACCAAGATACTTGAATATGGGCACAACTGATTCAACCCAAAAAGAGCAGCTCAGCATTCTGGTCGAAAAGTTGTCGTGTCGAGATACACCACCGATTGCACCAAATAAGATCGCTTTTACTCATCCCGATCCCCTGATTTCGATTGATGAGGCCATAGACATAAGGGAAACGAGCCATAAGGGATATCGTTTTGCATGAGCGCAGCTAAGCATTGATATGCATTGTGAAATAACTGCAAGCTTGCAAGCGATTGCTGATCGGCGCCGCTCTTCTCATGTATATCACCTAGCGTGGACAGCTCGATGCCGACTTGCGTTTTTTGCGCAGGCTTCATCCTCGCGTTGCTTCAAGCGCCATCATTTTCTAGTCGCTTGCCTTCGTCCAGTCCTTGTGGCAGTTTTGAACATGCAGCCACGGCTATGGTTATGGATACATAGTTAATACTCAAGCTTATTAAACAAGTCAAGAGATACTTACATGAATGTACACCCAATCGGCTGAACTTGCTGATACCATGTATTATCTTGTTAGCAATGACACCTCACCCAATAGCATCAATAGACTCACCTGCATGTCTTGAATTTTTTACCACCAAGCTTTTCTGGGCCAAGTTCCCGGCAGCTGTTACGTCACCCACATGCGAGCTGTAGTAAAAGGTAGCACCTAAACCAACTTTGCAGATGCATCTCAGGAGGTAGCTATATCAAAGGGGGTGTGGGTATGTGCTTCATTGAGCAAGATGGTCAGGATTTTACCTTATTCAAAGTGTCCAATACAGTATCACAATGACAGCAAAGACAATGAAAGTAGGAAAACAATGAAAAGCTAAATGCCACCGCGTATATGAGCACATACATCGCTCGCAAAGAGGTCTATCCACCATGGCACTTACCAAGGGCTTTGAAGATGTCAGCAATCGAAGAGAGATATGATGATGGAAGAGATGTGTGGGAGGAAAATGTTGGGCGACAACATCCATCTTGTCCATATCCGCATGGCGGGCGTGGGTATTACTGTGATCACAATCAAGGAGCAAAAGAGTGATAAAATGCTGGCTGAAAATAGTGATGGGCTGATAAACTGGTGGGGCGCCCTCATCAGTGATAAATCTGAAGAGCCTTGGCGTGATCGATTGTCCATGCATCAGGTGCTTATCGTTGTATCCAATCGTCACCTTGTGTAATAATGGTACTTTTTGACATGCTTGCATCTTAAGGAATGTTGTCCAAGTCACACAAGAAAGACATTGTCGCCGTCCTCTTGGTAATCCATCGTACTCGAACAGAGGATGCAATTTAGGCAAGTGAATGGCGCCGACTCCCGCTAAAGCAACATGGTCGTCTCCCCGAAACAATAGAGGACAATGATGACACCCTTGAAGTGCTAAGTGGCAATGGTAATATGACGTGGGGAAGGCCTTCTTGATCCTGCCAACATTTGCATACCTTCTTTAAATCCATTTGCACGTGACCATTCCGGGATGAACGCCTTTTTACCTCAAGGTATTTTCCAATAGCATCCTTGCTCCCAAACAAATGTATCTCCATGCCAACCATATTGTGCTTCAGCTGCTGTTTCATTGTAAGGCTCATTAATCAACAGCACTTGTTTTGTAGATCCAATACTATGCGTACCAATGAAACAATGCACACCATGACTTGTACTTTGAGATCAAATATCTGATTTCTGCCACAGGTACCATCATCCAACAAGTTCAAGCTATAACAAATGCAGCGTAAGATGACAACCGTAACATTTGCTTCACTTGTCAGCATACCCAAAGAAGTAATGTAAAGGTGTGCTAGGGACATCCCCTTGTTGTCAACCATGGAAAGAAGAATACACACGACGTCCCTTTGGATCTATACACCAGCGATAACCTACAAATGAACTTTTAGTATCACAGCAGCCAATTATATGTAATAAAGTAATGTAGTGATTGAACGTACATGTTGTGTTGGGAATGGAAGCTGCAGTCATGGGTAGATCGTGCGTGTACGTGGTATTGAATGTCTGCAACTGGAAAGTGTCGCCATTGACCCCCTGTTCACCCATTGACGCTGTGCATTGAAGGTCATGACAGCAGTTAAGGCTTTGTACTTTGTATATGGACACAACCTTACCTTACTCTGTGAAACGGAAAAGGAGAAGACGCTGCTCTTTTTCTTGTTCCCCTGGCGACCTGAATTTATACAACCAAGTCATCCCCGCCAACTACAGCTGCTGTTGTTAATGTGTACATCAAGTATATCCTATAACACTTGGATGAATATGAATAGCTACAACTAGAGAGTCTTCTTGAGCGTAGTCATGGTAATCAAGCTATTCATGATTTTACTTTGGCCGGAGCTGGCATCCATTAGGCCCGTGCGCATCATTTATGCAGCTCAACTCCCACACACCCAACATAGATGTATGCATCCATCCATAATAAATACGCATATATAGGCCGTCACCTTGATACTTCCTCTTTATTGGACCTTGCTTACTTACGTACCTTCCTAAAAGCAATCATCATCATCATCCATTTGTGCACCATCCTATCAAGGACGTGTTTGTGTAAACACCACGTGCCATTTCGCTCAGCTCTTCATCTTTCCGTCAATGCAGTAGACACCATCCATTAGGAGAAAGCAACTCCACCACGCTTACGGCATAGGTCAAACATAAAGGTGTCTGTATCTCTAAACTTTACAATCAAACATGGGGTTTTTATTAGAGCAATGTGCTCGGCTTGGCCAACAGCACCTTGTGTGAAAGTTTCAAGTTCATCGTGGCTAATCCCAGATTTCGCAATGTCGCCACCAGCCAAACTGGATCTGGGGGTCGACCTCTTCGCCGACGACGACCAAAAAATATTTTTTGGGCTGTTTGCGACATTGAACGCGAAACTTTTACACAAGGTGCTGCTGGCCAAGCCGAGCACATTGCTCTATTCAAAACCCCACGTTTCATTGTAAAGTTTGGAGTACAGGCACCTTTATGTTTGTAAACGTGATGCTATATGAGAAGTGGTTTTGTTTAATGTCAAGTAGGTGGACCCTGGCAGAGCAAAAGATGCAGAAGGACCTCTTTGGGTAACTCAGCTAAAAAGCCAGGACTTCAAGGACAATGCATGAATGGTACGCAACCCTCACTTTTATGTCATACATTGGCAGCTAATAGCCACTTTTGTGCATTCCCAACTTTTGTGCATTCTATTGTAGGTGGACGATGCTCCTGCTCTAGACATTCATTTCCATGATTAAAGTAGGTTGATCCGAGCTGATTTGGTTGAGTTACGCTCACACAAGATTACATCGGTTGAGCTACATCGAGCGTGCTCTATGTCCAGAGTGATGTAATCTCTCTTTGACCGCAGCTCAGTCAAATCAGCTCGGATCAACCTACTTTAATCATGGAAATGAATGTCTAGAGCAGGGGCATCGTTCGCATGCAGTGGATCTCGCAACAATGATGAATGGATAAAAGTGGCCGTTAGCTAGCAATACATGCCTGTTCCTAGATGATCCATAAAGTAATTATACATTGACCCTTTCACTCATGTAAACGTAGCTGTGTTACACAACACGACCCTCTGCATCTTTTGCTCTGCCAGGGTCCACCTACTTGACATTAAACAAAACCACTTCTCATATAGCATCACGCTTACAAACATAAAGGTGCCTGTATCTCCAAACTTTACAATGAAACGTGGGGTTTTGAATAGAGCAATGTGCTCGGCTTGGCCAACAGCACCTTGTGTAAAAGTTTCGCGTTCAATGTCGCAAACAGCCCAAAAAATATTTTTTGGTCGTCGTCGTCGAAGAGGTCGACCCCCAGATCCAGTTTGGCTGGTAGCGACATTGCGAAATCTGGGATTGGCAAGCTTGATCGTGCAACTGGCACCCAAGGTGCAGTTGGCCAAGCCGAGCACATTGCTCTAATAAAAACCCCATGTTTGATTGTAAAGTTTAGAGATACAGACACCTTTATGTTTTAGCTATGCTGTAAGCGTTATGCTACATGAAGAGAGGTCTTCGTTTAATGTCAAGTAGCTGGACCCTGACGGAGCAAAAGATGCACAGGTGTGTGTTTGTGTCACAAAGTCCAGGAGGATGCGACTGGAAGGGGTCGATCCCATTGGTGGAGGATGCATGATCGATCCTTCCCCTGCCTGCTACCGATAATAAGGACCGCGTATGATGGACTATATGGATTGGTCCGTTCTCATACAAGGTTGCATAATACAGTGTTAGCTGAAAAATTATCATAGGCAAGTATGGTATGATCATGTGCTCGTGAAGCATTGTCTCACAACTCACTCTTTCTTGAACATAATGAATTAAGCTTACAATGAATCAAGTTTCTGTAGCAAGCATTAAGTTACGCATCATCGCTCTCGAATTTATTATCTTGCAATACAATTGTTTGAGCATCTCCCCTGCTTTTCGTCTATCAGTATTATTGCATGTCGGACCTCTTATTGGATGTCGCGCCCCTTACAGTATTGGATGCCGCACTTCTTCTTACTGCATGTAGCACCTCTTCTTGTTGTATGTCGAACCTCTTGTTGAATAATCCATAATCGCATTAGTTAGCCAAATACATTTGTGTATTGCAAATTAGGACAAACACCCTGACTTTGTTATGACCACAAGATACATGATACAGTATGTAAAATAAGTTGACAATCTTTCTAACTGGCATGTTTACTTTTCTTTTGTCTTGTATGAATGCTTCGATGTAAGGGATGGCAATTGTCTATCGAAGGAACATAACCTGATATCGGTATTTTGGATACTAAACTACTAAGGGGATGCCGCCCGTGCGATGTTGAAAAATGTCGCGCACCTCGTAATTCCCTTCTTCAATTGTCCTTCCTTCAAAAAATACCGATCCAACATGTTCGCTCTTGAGCCCATTCTCTACCTTGATACATGTGTCAATGCCATGCTAAAAAAGAAAAAGATCAATCGATTGAAAAGCAAACATACATGATCAACCTTTTAAAACATACCATCAATGTCGCCAGCAACTCAAAGTAGCGTAGCATGCTGATTCGGTCTGACAATGTTGTCGGGATCTCGGCAATCCGCAAATCCATCCGTTTCCATGTGTATGCGTCATTCAAACTTGTGGTGCTCCATGTCATTTCCATCTTTATCACTTGGATAGAGAGAATACCAAGCTTTTTGAAGGTGGCAATGGATGCGTGCCTGTACTTTGATGCGATGGTGGCGAGAGAGGAGGTTGCACGCATGTACTGATGTCACCGACAAAGGAGTTTCAGTTTCCCCATCAGCCTAGGCATCCCAAAAGGGTTCATCAAGGAGCACAGCGTAAAGCAATGATGTGATCTATAGATAACAAAAAAGATGGATGCATGAGTACCCTCATTTTGTGAACCACGTAAAGACTATCCTTGAGACTTACATGAGGCCATTGATGATGGATATAAGTACGTAGAAAGAAAGGGCGTGGGAAATGTTGTCATGATGGATCAAACTGATAAAGTGGCCAAACATCTTGAAGTGATGGAGAATCAACAGCTGATAAATCCGCCTGCCACTTGAAAGGTGAGTTTTGGTAGGTGACAAAAGTATGTCGGAGATCGCACATTCGAACGTCTTGAGAGTGTCTTCGATGCTGTGTTGAGCATTCTCTGACAACGGACGACTACGACAAAAGCATCCATTACGTTACATACTCTAATCATATTTCCATGCACCTTCTTCATCTTCATACCTCGAAGTTTCCGCAATCACAATGTCTGTCTCCGAACTTGCTGCCATCTTTCCCCAATATATCAATGTATAGGTGTTGTGTCTTGGTCAGGTTGAAGTCCTTGTCAAAAATATCCAGCTCCTTGACGGCCTGTAACTCGTACTCACACCAGAAAAAGTCAACCGAATCGGATGTCTTCCACACGCATGTACTTTTGCCACCTACGAAGGAGTCCCAAAGTTTCCATCACAAAGGGCATCCTTTTAATAGCATGTATCAATAATAACGAAGAGGGATGTATAAATGATAGTTATACCTCCACAAAAGGTCCATCAAGGACCACAGCCAAATGCAATTAGGCAACAACGAGCACGCCAAGTGGTAAAGCAATGATGTGAGCTATAGATGAATCCGTGAGTACCCTCATTTTGTTGATCACGTAATAATGAATATCCATGAGACTTACCAGAGCCATTGATGATGGATGCAAGTAGAAGAAAGAAAGGGCGTATGATAGTGTTGGTGACCACAGCCTTGTTTATATGAGAGTGGGCGCGGGAATTGTTGTCATGATGGATCAAACTGATAAAGTGGTCAAGCATTCTTGAAGTACTGAGTCGAAGGGATGATGTCGTATCCTCCATGTCAACCATGATGTCCTATGATCCATGAATGATATGCAATGTTAATCATCATTCCTTGATCAACAGACCCATCCCTCCTCGTCTATACCTTGATAAATGGGTGAATCATAATACAAATCCGTGTGGTAGTGTGATGTTGGATAATGACGCGTGCCTTTGGTTGATGAAGAGGCGATGATCACATGGCTGTTGTGTGATAGATAAAGCTGATCCACAGGCTGCAATATCACGCAAGGATGGCATCCCCCTGGAACTGGTTGCTTGTTGTCACCGAGCTTGACAAGGAATTCGTCGTGCACTTGCATGTTCGTTGCATAACGCGTAAAGAATGAGTGCAGCAAGGTGCCATGTAATCGCCCTCATCACTTGAGAATAAATCGTAGCGAAGAAGTTGCTGTGGATGTCATTGTCAAATAGAAGGAAATGCGGTTGAAGAGGAAGAAGAGTAGACGTGAAAGAGAGCGCCAAAATTTACTCTGCCCTAATTTCACATTTTCGCTGCCTACACGTAACACCACCACCATGCACGCCAGAGCACTGATTCTAATCACGTGATAGACAGCACCTTCAAGAATAAAGAATCCTATCGAGTCTCATTTGACATTAACGGCTCCCATGTTTATTTACTACTACAACTTCTATCACTAACAACTACCAACAGCTGCTGTCAAAGTTTTGGATTGGCTTTTTCTATTGTATCCAGGGAACATGCCATTGTTGTTGCTATATCGAGTACCCTTTCTTGTTAGTATTGCAATTGATCAAAGCATGTCGGCATAAGGGGATTAGGAGGAATAAAGCTTGGCTTGCTATTGGACAATGGCTTGCATCGGCTGAATTGCCCCCGATGACGTTTAGAAAGATAAGAAGAATTGACTTGCAGAAGCCCGCCAAAACGGACTTCATTTCCGATTTTAGCAGAAACAACATCCTCTCGGAAGCCGATTGTGAATAGGAGAGAGAAAAAATGCCAAGACAACCATAGGGAACAGAACCCATGTAACAAAGTGCATGCATGGTATGTTACGGCATTTGTACATGAGTCATAGTATTTTGGGGAACACACACACACACATACACACATAACAATATGGTATCCACCGGGTAACAGGTTGCAAAGAATGATGTCGGGTCATTATGCGCACAACAACAACCTACATCATCGTTTGCTGCTGCTGCGGATAACCAAGCTGGTCTGTGCACCCACCACAAAATGGGCCAGGTCACGCATGCATGCATGGCCCATTGTGCATTGTATTTTCGTATGAGTCATGCATTATGAGACATCGAGTTAAGCAACCTATTCCTGGTAAGTATGACCTAGCGATACAATAGGTTTGCTATGGCTGGTCGAGACCTTCATGTTGTTGCATGATGCACGATCGATCATGCAAGTTCGGTTGACCAGCATCAAATACTAGTAAGCAGTGGTAGTGCAACACAACACAAAACTAATAGGGCCGTGTGCAATGTGGCGTTCTGGTACTGTACACAATGGCCAGATCGGCCCAGCCATTAAAACGTGGTTCCATACAAGTGGTAAAAGCACAACAACACGACACTAAAATAACACCCAGCCAATACAAATATGGTCGTTTGATCAAATCCACACTTAAAAGGCGATATTACGTGAGACAAAAGGAATGATGCGATCTTGTTGGGAATACATTAAAAGTACACAAGGAAAAGGGTTGATAGATGAGGTTTACAGAATGATAGTAGAATGAGTTGGAGCATAGGCAATGATGATAAAAATACATATACTGATGCAAATAGTGAGAGAGTGAATATGTATCGTGTGATGATGAAAAGAGAGGGGTGAGAGGGGGGTATCCAGGTTGTTGCACATGTTACACAAAGTCGACCTCCGACTTTCGAAGGAATATGCCCCGATGGGGATCTGTTTGAAAATAGCGTTTTCCTTCAACACTGCCATCGTTCTTTCCGACTAGCGAGAATAAAAAAATAAGGTTAGACAAGAGGATTTTTCACTTTTTTGTGTACCCTAAAAAGCACACCATGTGCATATTATGCTTACTTACCTCGACTATCCAATTCAATACCAAGCCAATCGTCACCCGAGTCAAAATCCACAGGGCCCATGTATCGGATAAAACCATGGATAGGAAGAGGACGATGCAAAAGACGCACCTTGTCACCGATCTGGAATGGTCTTGGTGTATCATCGTCATCATCATCTGATCCCATGATCTTTGACCATCGCGATTTGCGTGATTTCTTTTTCTTTTTACCACGTTGATGTAACATTTTTTCATCAGGGAGGGACCATCGTTGACGAGGACGAGAATAAGCTGAATAGGCACCGGCAGCGGGTGATCGGGATCGAGAAGGTGTCTCTGGTAATTCAAACTTGAGACGTGTGGGACGTGTAGGTTTTGCATCTTCTTCAGCCTTCTTTTTTTCTTGTGCTTCAATGCGAGCTTCTGTTTCCATGGATAACAATCGATCCAGGTCGTTGGGTGAAAAGTAGGAGCGATTGGGATTGTGGTTGTCAATTTCATGGGGTGTCGAAGGAGACGAGTTGCTTTTTTTCATGGCAACACGTGGAACTGTCATGTGAGTGGAATGATGATGTTGGTTGGTTCTTGTGGTAGGTGGCAGGCTTGCAATGCTACTGGCATCATCCTCCTCCTCACTGCTGCTGCTGACACCTGTCTCATCTTCATCATCGCTTTCGCTGCTACTATTACCACTGCTACTCGTGCTTCCTGTAGCAGCAGGTTCTTTATGATTGGTATTGGTTGGCTTTAATACAGGTGATGCAGGTGTTGATTTGATGATAATAGGAGTAGGTGCTGGTTTGGATGATGCAGCCGTTGCTGCTGCAAGTGCAGCTGCCGTTGCAGGGTTGGTGGCAGGAGCAGAGAGAATGTTGCCAGTGGATTTTGTCTTGCGAAGTGTGGTAGATGTGGTGTCGACTTTCTTTTTTCGAAAGTTAAAGAGAGGCATTATCGTGTTGTGTGTTGTTGAAAAGTGAAGAAGAAAGGGAAGAAATAAGGTGACAAGCCAACCTGAAACCACTAAAACTCATTTTTATGTATCCGAGGTTATCAGTGTTTGGATTTTCAAGCCACGACTCATTCATCTACTGCGCAACATGCTCGGAGCAAGCACGGCCCCATTAGCCCGATTTTCCCTTTGCTCTCTTGTTTCTATAACAGTAGCATTTATAGTACCATAATTAGCGTTGTTCTATCATTCTTTGTGTCATTGAATAAACACCCTCTCTACAAGTTCTAGACACTACTCCTATTATCACCCTTGTTGCTGTTGTGGTACTATTTTAAAAAGGAAGCTTTATTATAATAGTATGCCAAGTGATAGGCAAATAGGATATGATGACAGCATGCTATGATCTATGTCATACATAAATATGCAATGGATCACGGGATGAGTAAGATGAGCTGCAGCAGATAACCTTGTTACCAAAGGCAACAGTGTGTATGTATGCGTGTGATACATCATCACGGATTATTGAAATTCCACTGTCCCGCAGCATTGACTTTTTCTCTCTTTGCACCGTTCTTGTGGAGCAACAACAAAAGACAAGTAAAGACAAAGCCAACTCTTGACGTTTTGCTTCCATCGTCGTGTATGCATCTTTGCGCTCGATCACGCGAATGACGACCCATCCCTCCTCCACCTGGAATATCGCAGGATATCGATCCTCATCTTCATCACGACCTGCTTCGCCTGATTCCACTAAACGCAAGCAACGACGTGATTCTACTGCCCCACTTATGCATACACCACCCATAACAACATTATCATCGCCTTCTTCTCATCATCCTAATATCAACAACGACGTGCATTCCTCTGGGCTACATCGTCGACGCCATAACAACTCAAAAGACCAAGACGACGACAACAACGACGATGACGATGATGATGATGAATCCGAGACCGAGACTGAGACTGAGGATGACGACGACGACGAAGATGATGATGGTGGAGGATCGGATACTGGATCAAGTGATAAGGGTGACACATCAACGCTATTACAACAAACAGACAATGATATCCGGATCAGTGGCCTAGGCAAGGTGGATCCTTGGCGACAAACATTCATGCTTGATGAAGAGGTTCAGATTATTGTGGAAGGATACCGAAATGATGGATTCCATTACATGCTCTATCGATTACTTTGTATCTTGTCCTTTGGTATCGTATGGCTTATTTGTCGATGGATGCCACAATGGTGGATCGCATGGGTTGGCAGGAAGACCTCCTTGGCCAATGCGCAGTGGCTTGTATTTGTGGTACGTCTAAATCAACATGTCACTTTTAGCGTGTGAGTATCTCATGTGTGGGGGTTGATAGAATGAATATGGAGAACGAGATATTATCCGCCCGCAGCATGAATTCTATGGTGGCACCATTGGGTCGGTGTTTTCTTTGGATCAAATGAAAGAGGAGCTACGATGTGATCCAAGTCAAAGTCGACGCTTGTTGGATATGGATGATAGAATCACTCATCTCGTCCTCGTGGAATATCGCTATGTGAGACTCGCTTTTCATCCTATCATGCGCCAATTCTTGACCATTGGGTAATTACAACTTTTGGATGTGGGGATCAAAACAACATCTGACAACTATTCTTTCGCATAGTTACTGGAAGGATTCGTCTTGGACATCAATCAAGAGTATCAAATGCGGCCTCAATAGTGAAAAATATCAACAACGCTTTTGCGCTTTCGGCCCGAATCTTATCAACATACGTGAAAAGCCCATTGGCAAGTTGCTGCGAGACGAGGTAGGTGACACACAAAATGCCAAGCGTTTCGGAAAAGTGCATCCGCATTAACACTGACGTGTGTGTTTTTACCAATTATAGGTGCTCAATCCATTTTACGTATTCCAGATTGGCAGCATTATTCTGTGGAGTATGGATGATTACTACTATTACGCATTTTGCATCTTTTTGATCAGCGCGTTTAGTATTATCACCACCCTTATCGAGACAAAGCAGGTACAACGGAGGGTTTCACAAGGGGAAGGATGATGACATCTCATGGATTGAAATGTGTGAATTTTATAGACCATGAAACGCATGAGAGAAATGTCAAGATTCGAATGCAGCGTACGCACTTGTAGAAATGGGGCATGTAAGTAGCAAGCAATCATGGCTACAAGCTTTTTCCCTCTCTTACATTGTTACAACCAGGGCGAACAATTAGCTCAACAGAGCTCGTACCTGGTGATTACATCGACATTGCCAATCTGCACACTGTACCATGTGACGCTGTTCTTGTTTCAGGCGATTGCATTTTGAATGAATCCATGCTTACAGGCGAATCAGTGCCAGTATCCAAGATGCCTGTCACCGACGCTGTTTTACGCAAGATGAACTTGTCAACAGCCACTATACCAGCAGAGATTTCCAAACACTTTTTATTTATGGGCACAAAGGTGGTGCGTGTTCGTTCTGGTAACAACATTACGCCTGCTACTGCTATGGTGGTGCGCACAGGATTCAATTCGGCAAAGGGCGCGCTTGTGAGAAGCATGCTATTCCCCAAGCCCAACAATTTCAAGTTTTATCGTGATTCTTTTCGTTTCATTGGTGTATTATCGATTATTGGTAATGTTGTCATGATCAAGGTCATCATGTTGCTATGCTAACGGATCATTATCATTGTTTCAGCTATTTTCGGTTTCTTGCTTTCATCGGTCAACTTTATCCGACTTGGCATTGATACGACCACCATGGTACTTCGTGCACTTGATTTGATCACCATCGTTGTGCCACCTGCACTACCAGCAACCATGTCTATTGGTACAAGCTTTGCTATTGGACGATTGAAAAAGCTGGGTATCTTTTGCATCTCTCCTCCACGCGTCAATATTGGTGGCAAGGTGGATTGCATGTGTTTTGACAAAACGGGTACTTTGACTGAGGATGGTCTTGATATTCATGGTATTCGCCCCATCTACACGGGTGCTGATGATCAAAAGCGATTCGATCAAGAAATGGTGTCGATCGAAGGTGCCAATCCGGATGATGATGAGGATGCCACAACGACCGCAAAGATTTTACGTACCATGACAACATGCCATTCACTCAAGATCGTCGATGGTGAGCTTATTGGTGATCCTCTTGACCTCAAGATGTTTGAATACACACGATGGGAATTGGAAGAAAGTGGTGGTGCATCATCGACGGGCTTGAAAATGAGAAGCGAACTTGCTGCCATTGCTGCCAAAAAGAGTGCCAAAACCGGGATCATGCCTACCGTCGTGCGACCTCCTGGTGGAAGACAAGAATTGCCATTGAATTTACCACAAGAAGGAGGAGCACCACCCCCTGTTGAATTTGGTATCATTCACTCCTTTGAATTCGTATCAGCTTTACGTCGTATGAGTGTCATTGTTCGTCGTTTGGCCAAACCATGCATGGAGGTCTTTGTCAAAGGTGCCCCCGAGGTCATGGCAGACATCTGTACTCCTGAATCTTGTAAGTGTGTATGAGAATGTATGGCTTGATTATCATGCTAACATGATATCTAGTCCCTGTGAATTATCAAGAGGTGCTCTATTGGTATACTCATCGAGGTTATCGTGTTATTGCTTGTGCTACAAGACAACTTGATGGCGTCAAATGGCATAAGCTGCACAAACTCAAAAGGTAAATTTGATGTCCCGACTTTTGTGTGTAACGCTCACCGTTCATCTTTGTTTTCTGCAAAAGACATGAAGTTGAATGCAACCTCACCTTTCTTGGATTCATTGTTTTCGAGAACAAGCTCAAAGCACGCACTATTCCTTCTCTAAAGACACTTCATAATGCAGGCATTCGACAAATCATGTGCACTGGTATGGATACTATTTTATTGTTGGTGTACTATCACACACAATCTCACATGGCATTGTAGGTGACAATGTGCTCACGGCTGTTAGTGTTTCGCGTGAATGTGGACTCGTGGATTATGGTGCGGAGATCTACGTTCCTCGGTTTTTGAGCGGCTCTTCAACCGATCCACAATCAAAATTGACTTGGGAAAGCGTTCTGAATGAAGGGCATACGCTGTATAGCGACACTTTGGAGGTAAGCTTATGCAATGGATACAATCATGTGCTATGTAGGATGCTCATTTTCGTTTTATTTTCAATAGCAACATCGGCCTGACGCATATGGCAAGCCCTATTATTTGGCTGTCACTGGTGAAGCATTCCGATGGATGGTTGACAATGCACCCACCGAACTTCTTTATCGCATGCTGGTCAAGGGTGTGATTTACGCTCGCATGTCGCCTGATGAAAAGCAAGAACTTGTGGTGGAGCTTCAAAACATTGGCTATTGTGTCGGCTTTTGTGGTGATGGTGCCAATGATTGTGGTGCACTCAAGGCTGGTGATATTGGTATTTCTCTTTCGGAAGCAGAAGCATCTGTGGCAGCACCCTTTACAAGCAACACAATGGATATTGCCTGTGTCATTGATGTGATCAAGTAAGAACAAAGAAAAAAGTAGGCTTGTGATCTGGATGACTTATGTTGATTTATAGGGAGGGTCGTGCTGCATTGGTGACAAGCTTTAGTTGTTTCAAGTACATGGCATTGTACAGCATTATCCAATTCACATCGGTCACGTTATTATATGCATTTGGCAGCAACCTGGGCGATTTTCAGTTTTTGTACATTGATCTGTTTTTGATCCTTCCCATCGCCGTGTACAGTAAGTATAACCAAAGGATATGAATTCAAGGTGCTCAATACATATGTTATAGTGGGGTATACGGGAGCTTGGCCCTTTTTGGCGCGAAAACGACCCACAGCCAGCCTGGTATCTAAAAAGGTGTTGACTTCACTTATTGGTCAAATCATCATCACATCCGGTTTCCAATTGATCGCCTATTGGGCTACCCATAGGCAAGACTGGTAAGTTGTATATAAAACATAAAGAGTGATCCCACAATGTGACTCATGTGCTATGGTATGTTGTTAGGTATGTTGAACCTGAATTTGATCCCGATGGCGAAAACATAAAGTGCTACGAGAACACGGTGCTCTTTTTATTATCCAGCTTCCAATATATCCTTGTGGCCGTTGTCTTTAGCGTGGGACCACCCTATCGCAAACCGCTTTGGACGAATGGTATGTGAAATCCACCCCACACACATACTCTTTGGCTTACACTAATCATCATTTTATAGGTCGACTACTACTCACACTGGCAGTGTTGGTGACGCTGACGGTATGGTGCGTCATATACCCTTCGAATTGGGCACTTGAGTGGTTGGAACTGGAGGTGATTCCCTTTGGATTCCGCGTATTCCTGGTTACTTTGGCAGCGGCCAATCTTGTTATCAGCTACATTTGCGAAAAGTATTTCTTTTTACACCTCGCCGGCTGGCTGGCAAGCACATTCAAGAGTTTAAAAGGTCGAGCTCAACCTGGTTACGCCCCATTATCCAAACCCCACAAAAAGATATACAAGCGTGTGATGCAAGAGATGGGTATTGTAGATTTATGATGCACTGCTATCAGAATTTTAAAGTTCTTCTACACGCTGTTTCGTATAAAACGAGCAATTCAGTGTGTGAATACAATAAAAGTCATCATCAGCAGACATAAGAATCAACAGTGTGTTGGGATTTGAACCCACGAGAGATATAGGAAAATGCCGTCAAAAGACGTTATGATCACTCATCTCCCACCCATCACCATCATCATCAACGTATTGAAGAATAAAAAACAGCAGATGCATCGCGTCGATGATGCTTGCTTTTATATTTGGTGGATAGCTCATACAAGCCACCATGGGTGCCCCATTCCTCATTAAGAATAGCGTGTTCTCTTTTTTCGCGCTGAATTGACAGGGGATTCGGAAAAATCCATGAACCACATTGCTGGGATCAAGTAACGAGCGAGAATACCTCGCCTCTTTTATTGCACAAAGAAAAAGGACTTCATACACACATTACATCCGTGAAATGGGGATATCGCTTGCAGGATTATGCAAAACGTTAATCAGCGTTAAAGCGTGTAACCCCAATCGTATATGGCTAGAGAGGAAAAGCTTGTCCGTCACGTGAACTTGAGTGATATGGATGATCTTGGAAATGAACCCTATCAAACCAATAAAGCTACTGCTTTACTCACCCATTCCAATGGTTCATTATCCTCGTCATTGTTGTATCGCCCCATTCAGTAACCTTTATTGATTCATTGTTGTACCTTTGTTTTGATCATTTCATTCCCAGCGAGACATATTCAACATCAATGATGACAGCGGCGCTTTTAATGAAAATAGCTCACAATACTTGACCACCATCCCAATCACCAACAATGACCCATCAAAGACGATACAATGCAAACGTGTGAATTGGATAGCTTCCGTGATTATTAGATGAATAGGTAAAATGAACGATCCTTGTCTAAAAGAGGAGGAGAAGTATCATTGGTTGCTGGCTATTGCTAATGTAATCGGTTGTCGAGATCGTCAATCAATCATGCTGTAGCGTATGTAGGCGGTGAATGATCCTTCAAGCCAACGGCGCCTTGTGTACATGGTCGTATCAAGGTCCCATCGTATGCGATGTATGTAAAAAGAGCTAAGCTAAGCGTGTCAATCGTAAATAACGATCCATGTATCCCTGAACATACCTAATCCTTCATGTAATAGCCCATTGATGCGCTTGAGTATGACTTGATCCGATAGGTGAAAAAAGATCCTGGTTGTTGTACTCACGACGGTTGGCTTTCCATAAACACTCTTGCACTTCCCCCTTCCACCATCAGCGTGTCGAACAAGGCTGTTGAAAGTTGTTGATATCGTCGCCTTCGAAGCATGAGTCACTGTAGTTGAACTAGAAGGCTGCACACTGGGTTCGATTGTTGACAACTCGACGTGTTAATGAGCTGCAAAGACAGGCTGAACGTGATGGTGTCGAAACTGGTGATTGGTTCCTCAATGACATTGTCGACTGCGTGCTGGTCTAGAAGCTCTCTTTCGTTTCAATGTTGGTGGTGCGAAGACTCGGTCAATGAGGTTCAAAGTAAAAAGAAGGGAGAAAGGAAGAATTCTGCAACACACGTTCCCCCACAAATCGTAGCCTTTATACCCTCCCAGCTCCTTCTGCCATTCCTCTTTATCATGCTATTGGCTTCAACTCATGCCTGTATTCAAACCTTTATATCGTGTTAAAGTACAAATGTTATAAAGAGTACTCTTCATCATCCAAGAGCATGATTTTGAGCTCCTCGTTTATGGTCAGTGCACCATTGCCAGTGATCCCTCTTTTGGGGTGGATGCAAGATCTGTAAAAGGATGGATTAATTATGACCTCTAAAGGTAAAACGTCTGTGCACTTTGATTGACAGCCGTGATCATTATTGCTTCATACATACATAGAGCAGATCAAAGTAATGCATACCACCAATAACCATTTACTGCTATTGTAATAACAAGGGCTCTTCAAGAAAGCGAGATCTGATAATCACGGATCGATTATGAGTCTACAGAATTGATAGGTGATATGTATCAGATACCAAAGGAAAATCAAGATGGTAAGAGTAGTATACTTGGTTTACATTGATTTGAATGTATATCTCTTTCAGCATTTTCTCACGAAATCGATCTTGATCTCGATCATAATGATGGAGCTCATACAGCCCTTTAACACGTCTTTTTCGGAAACACAGACCGATGGCGTGCTTTTCTTTGCTACATTGCGTCATACAACCTCCTCCTCCTACTCCTCTCCCCAACGTGGATGGAAAATGCAAACGCTTGATGGGGTAGAAAGTGGGGGAGTGATAATCTGGATTCAAGGTCAAATTCGGGTGGTTCGTCCAATGAAACTAGTGGATGGCGTGCATTATTCAGCAACGGAGTTACACAGCCGGAGCGGTTGCCATGTCAAACAAAGAGACACAGCCGCGGAGGTCACACACGCACACATTTTACCAAGCAGTGCTGTCGGGCGCCTTTTACCGAGGACATGGCATGTTGTCGTCGTCAATGGGTACTCTTAGTACACGTGGAAACGGATCCATTTCCATTTCTATCATATTCTGTGCTAAGCTCCGGATGCATTCGGGATATCATCAAACAAAAAAGTGTAGGCCAACCCAACAACAAGATCTTGTTTTGGGGAAGAACGAGATCCAAACAGCACAAAACAACAAAGGGGAATGGGTGTAATAAAGAAAAAGAAACAATGCATGGAAGGAAGCATGCGCACGCACGCACACACACACGCTTTGCGTTGATCTGTGTTTGTGTCTCTCAACCGCTTGACACACATTGACAGCTCACATACCCAAAAGGAAATATGCTTGTTGGATTTGCATAAAGGGGACGATCGTCCTTTAATGTTTTACGATTGCATTTCCTACAAAGCGCTTATTTTCATAACCAAGATGTTTTTCAACTTTTGGCGTTGCTAAGGTGGTCATTGTGGAGAAACATCATCCGACGTATACATGATCAAGTGCACTTGATACCAGATGGGTGAATGGACACATGATGTGCACCTTCTCGATTACCTTGCTTGAAGAAAAATGTATACGCTATGATGAACAAACAACCCCATGCAGTGGGGTGAGGTCCGCCTAGACCGCCAAGAGAAAAAAAATTGTGTCGCAAAGACCTGTTTATGCATTCGAAACAACATCCACAGCTTTGGAAAGATAACCCTGTTGCAGGTGGGGTGCATATTTGTGTTTACTACAGGAGCATACACAAGGGCTGAAAATGCAAACGATGGGAGTCGGCTTATTCATCGGACACTTTTTTTGTGAGTGTGCGAGAATAGGATGACAAAAGCATGTCTTAGGATCCTCTAGTGCCAAAGTCGATACAATCGAATGTATATCAAAAGCGTGTATATACACTCACATACACTGCCTTGTGGCACACATCGGGTCGGGGTGGAATCTAAATTAGCTAGGAACCAGCGTGCACAAGTAGCATTGTTTGGAGCGATTTGATTGGATAGAGTCATACCTTGTCTACTCTACATGCAGAGGCAATTATAAAGATACCCTGTAGAACCCTTGATCCTCTCCCATCCTCTTGAAACCCGTGGAGCTAATAAATAAATTGTCCGTGCCAATGCGTGAGAAGCTTCCAATTCTTTTAAAAAGGCTACCCAGAAACCCGCCGCTGTCGTCTCTTCGCACTCAATCCTTCCGCTTCCAAAGCACATCCTCTTCATCCATCGCCATGCCTATTGTTCAACAAGAATCCATTAACGTCGCCAGCAATGGCCCTGTCAAGACCACCACAGCTTCCTATGCCACTTCCCCTTACTACAACCAAGGTACGAATAACATGCTTAATATAAAGCACATGTTTTGACATGGTTCGTTTATTATTATAGGCACTGCATTGACCCAAGAAGCACGTACTCAGCTTGGTCTCCGCGGCTATGCTCCTGTTGGTGTTGAGAACCTTGAGCTCCAAAAGACTCGTGCCTTGAATCAATTGCGTTCTAAGGCTACTGATTTGGAAAAGTACACCTTCATGGCTCAATTGCGCAATAGCAACACTCGCTTGTTCTATAAGCTCGTTTGCGATGATATCAAGGTAAATTTAAGTTTCAGATCGCCTACCCCACGTACTTGCTGTGTATTTTCTTTTGTCTAAAGCTGGCTTATTTAGGAAATTGCCCCGATTATTTACACCCCCACTGTTGGCGAGGCCTGTGCCGAATACTCCAACATCTACCCGTTTCTGGGTCCTCCTGGTATGTCAGCAACACCCGTTCTCTCCCGTATTCACCCGTACATTGCCCCATTCACTCATTGAGCATATCCCTAACCCCATCCTCATACATTGTATAGGTGCTGCTGATGGTCTTTATGTCTCTATCAATGATCTTCCTTATCTTAAGGACATCTTGCGCAACTATCGCAAGAACAGCGATGGCACCATTGATGAGCCTGAGATCACTGTCATTACCGACGGCTCCCGTATCTTGGGTCTTGGTGATCTTGGTGTAGGTGGTATTGGTATCCCTATTGGCAAGTTGCAACTTTACTCTGGTGCTGCTGGTATTGATCCTCGCAAGACTCTTCCCATTGTCCTTGACTTTGGTACCAACACCGAACGCTATCTCAATGACCCCTTGTATTTGGGCTTGAAGCAAAAGCGTCCTGATGAGGAGAAGGTATGCTATCAAAATCTCGTAATTGACGATAACCGAGATGGCTAAAGGTGGTATTATTATAGTTCTACGAAGCTGTTGATGATGTTATGAAGGCCATCTACGAGGTCTTCCCCAACATCCTTGTGCAATTTGAAGACTTTTCTTCCGAACATGTAAGTTTTGATGCAATGTCATGATCTAAATGACACCTTGCTGACTCAAATTTTGTTTCATTTATTAGGCTTTCGGTCTTTTGGAAAAGTATCAAGATAAGGTGTTCTGCTTCAATGATGACATTCAAGGTACTGGTTCGGTCATTCTTGCTGGTTTCATGAATGCCGTTCGCCTTGCTAAGGAGAATGCTGGTGTTGACCCCAAGGATCATCGCATTGTATTCTTTGGTGCTGGTTCCTCTGCCATTGGTGTTGCCAAGCAAATCCTTTCATACTTTATGAATGAACATGGCTTGAGCGAGGAAGAAGCCAAAAAGATCTTTTACCTTGTCGACAGCAAGGGCTTGGTGACACTTGACCGTGGAGATAGACTTGCTCAACACAAGGTATATTTCGCCAGATCCGATAATTCTCAAGCACAGTTCCGAACCCTGTGTGACGTGATTGATTATGTCAAGCCCACTGCGTAAGTAATCCTGGTTGCACAAAGGGTCCTTTTATGGGGTTCTTTTTTGTTCTTGTGGGGTGGGAAAAAATCGAAGGCATGTTTGACTTACCGTATACGACACAATAGCTTGATCGGTTTGTCCGCACAACATCAAGCCTTCACCAAGGAAGCTGTTGGCAAGATGGCTGCCAACAACAAGTTGCCTATTGTCTTCCCTCTTTCCAACCCCATGACCAACGCCGAATGCACCTTCCAACAAGCTATGGAATACACTGACTACAAGGTTCTCTTCGCTTCTGGCACTGCTTTCCCTCCTGTCACTCTTCCTTCTGGTGAGCTCAAGTATGCTGGTCAGGGTAACAACATGTACATTTTCCCTGGTTTGGGCTTGGGTGCTATTGTTGCCAAGGCTGCACGTGTCTCTGATAGCATGGTCTATGAAGCTGCCAAGGGCTTGTCCAGCTCCTTGCTTCCTGAGGAAATCCAAAACGGCAACTTGTATCCTGAACTCAACCGTATTCGTGAAGTCTCTGGTGAAGTCGCTGCTGCTGTTGCCAACCAAGCTATCCAAGAAGGTCTTGCTCGTGACCCTGAGATGCTTGAAATTGCCACCAACTACAAGGGTCAAGAATACAAGGATCGTCTTTTGGCCTATGTCAAGTCCCACATGTGGGATGCTAACAAGGACTCCCACTTTTCCTTCTCTCTTCCTTCCCCTTCCCTGTAAATGATGACCTTTGTAAACACACACACACACACATACACACAATAACCATATCACACTCGCCTACACATACCTAGCTCACAGACTTCCACACATGCAGCATTCACAGCTACCCCGCTTATCTCTCTCTTCTCTCTAGTAGCATAAAATCTCACCCTATCTTTTTTGCATTTTCAAATATATCATGATTTGCCATTGCTGTGGCATGAAAGAAAAAAGATTCATATACAATGTTCATAGGTTGGGCCATAAGCAAAAAAGTGCCCTTTCAATGAAAGAGTGTAGCACGTGATACGATAAATGGATCGCCTATTGATCGCCAGCAAAACGCTGATGCATGAACAAGTACTTTTAAGGAAGTCCAAAATGCGTTGCACAGCAACCCGCCTTTAGGCTTGTTAGAGTGTGACATCCGATTGCCCAAATACAAGCATAGACACCTGCCACGTAATAGCCATCCTGGTGCACATTGTAGATCGTTGTGGAGACCTTTGTGTAAGGGAAGTATGCACTATGCAGACCCATGCTGTGTGGTGATGGTTACCCTTACGATACGTACGTTGCTAGGCAACCGTGAACACAGCCCACATGGCTTATTGAAGAGCCACACACGCACATACAGGTACTACTTGGATGCATCACTATCACGTTGCTATACGAGATGATTTGCATACGTAAATGGTCCCATTATCCATGGCTAGCGAATACGGTGATATGATGTTGCTATGACACGTGATCCCATGGTACATGATGAAAGCCAAGCATTAGCGCACCCATGCACATCCGCCAGCTGAAACATTAGATGGGTATCGAAAACTTGAATACGCATGTTTACATCCCTCGCAGCAATTGATCCCTCTTTTCTTGTTCTTGGATACATCATCATGAGCTACGATCCAGAAAAGGGATATGGCAATGGAGGTATGTAAAAGATCCTTCTGGATCATGAAGAGTGGGAGTTAACAGTAATACAGGCGCTGCTGGCAACGAAGCACCACCACCTCCACCACCTGCATACCAAGAGCAAGCGAATGGAAAACCTCCACAGCAGCAGGGTGGAGGCAATGAATACAACACCTACAATCAGCAACAGCAACAACCTGAGATGCAACAACAACAACAGGGTTACTATAATAGCCCTGGCGGCGGACAAGCTCAAACTTATTACGAGCCACCTCCTCAACAAACAGGCTATGTGCCCCCAGCACCTAATAGTACCCAACAAGGCGGTCGCAATCGATTCATGTCGTTTTATGCTCCTCCCAATAATAGGTCTTTGGGAATGAAGCGTCGTTTGTGCACGACCATTTGCTGCTGCATAATTATTGGTCTTGTTGTCGGCTTGTCAGCTGGCCTTACACGTAGAAACTACTACAGCTATAATAATGGATACAATGGATACAGCAACACGTATGGCGGCTATTAGATCACACGCCGTAATGGCATCACTATCTATACACACATAATAGAAGTAAACGATTTCAATACTATTACGTATATAAACCACAACTTTTTTGTGCTATTCAAGGAGGTGCGCGGTATTCATTGTATTTTCCGCAGCCTGCCTATGACCGCCTTAATGCGCGCGTAAACAACGACAGGGGGTTATCCAAGGAGCTTGGGGGTGTTGAAGTCATAGGTGAATGGTGGATTTCCTCATCAGCTGCTGTATCATACATGCAACTACAACAGCATCATGCTCCGCTATACCATGTGTGGGTTTGAAGCACTATTACACAATTAAGAATCGGATTTAGCGGGTTATGTATTGTTGTTGTTGTTGGCGAATAGTGTTGGATATTCATTATCATTAAGATGCCGTAAAAATGTCTGTGGGATCATCGAGCTACTATTATTACATGACCAAAAGGGAGGAGCAGCAGCGTTGTTGAGTAATAGCAGCCACGCGAGATGAGTGGGGCGATCCATACCAGTAGATCCCAGTAATTAACAGTAATAATGTATTATCATCATCATCAACCTTAAAATAGAGTGAGCTTGAATTCTTCCTTGGAACCACCTGAGACCATGCTGGGAATGGGAAATGATATTGTAATGCGGGCTGACGTTGGGCGCTGGTTGGCGGAATGGGATGCAGCAGCAGTGATGAGTTCTCCTTTACTGCTTCTCTCTCTCTCTCTCTCTCCCAAATCCCCGGCAATGCACAACTAATGGAATCCATACATAATCGGCAGCAAAGAATGAATCCCCGGCGTCAACAAGCCATATATATAAACAGGAGGCAATGAACATTACACCGAACGGGATATGCATCATCGTATTAGAAACACAAAAAAAGGGTCAAGGATCGCTGATGCAGGTAATAATGATGTTGTTGTTGTAAAAGCATAAACGTATTCTATAATACAACAAAGAACTTGTGTCCACTGTATGTCATCATCGTGCTATCGATCCATTTTCAAGCATCCAAGAATGAAAAAGGGTAATATTGCATCTTTATTACGTATCTCCCTGCCAATATTTTCTTTCTTTCAATGTCTTTTTGTTTCCCTCTTTTATCGCTCAATCGGGTGTGCTAATATCTCTATGATCAGAAAGGAGACAGGGCGCGAAAATAGGGAGGATTTTCCCCGGAGAAAAGAAAAAAGAATGAGGGGATCACCCACCACCACGTCTACATTACACCATAGTGACATAGAGAGGCTGTCAATGTATAAAAGCTGAGTACATCACTTGCATCTTCTTTCCCTTTCTTCCCCAAGCACTCTATAAGGCGATTACCTATGACCATGTTCTTTTCCAACCGTGTCGCTTCAAATGACAAGGCAATGAATAATACCAAGACCACGACCCGTGGAACGTCATCATCATCATCATCATGTTCACGGTCGGCTTCAACCTTGTTCCTTATGGTTGCTGGAAACGGAGATCGCAGCAGCAATAATAAGGGTACTACTACTACAAGTAGTAGTAGTCGTTCTTCCATTCGACACATTACTCGCTTCTTTCAACACAAGCGTCCTTCTTCTGCAGATACACCCTGCTTATCGGCATCCACATCAGTGTCCTCTGTTCAATCCAGTGTCACCTTGCCAAAGCGATCCACCGATGTGCGCTCCTCAAAATCGATTGAGCTTGAGTCTCTTATTATGGATCAGCCTTCACGCACTGTACGCGTCAGTATCACACCCGATTGTGCTGCATGATGATGATGGCGTTACGTATATACATTCATACATGGGACGAAAAAAAATACAAAGCAGAGCAGCAATCATCATCATCACCTTCCTCGTGCTTTAAAGTGTTGCCCTATTCATCCTGGTTGATGCTGGTGGTGGTTACACGCATAAAAACACAACAAACAACAACAACATCAAGCTCCTTTTTTTCTTCTTACGACACAACCTTGCTCCTCTTCCCCCACTTTTTATTCCATATGTTCTTCTTCTTCTTCCTATTGCACTTTAAGTCTTATATCCATCTCCCTTTCAAGCCCCATCATCCATTTTTATATATATATACCATTATAGAACGTCGTCTTTTATAACCAAAAGAGATGATCTATGCATGGTTCGCCACAACAACAAACTTGTACCGACATAACACAAATAAAAGATAACCAGTACTTGTTAAGCTTTCATTGCATACATACATGTTTTCCCTGTAATGGATGAAAAGAGGGCAAACCTTATACGTGCATGTACACAAGTAACGACGAGAAGTATGTGATACATATACATGTATAGTTTCATGCATGTGCACGCATAAAACAGGTCTATGTATGTATGTATGCGCACACGACCTCACTCCTTTTCATGTCAGTGGATAAAAAACGGGCCGCACTACATGATGACTTTTTTTCTTTTCCCCTCACCAAAAGTTCCTTTTGTCATTCTCCCCCATCTCCCTTCTTCCTTCCCTTTCCATCCTTGATGATCAAAAGAAGAATAAGCAAAATGAATCATTTTTGTATACGGTAAAAAGAGGGGGTTGTATGTATGTTGTACATGAGTTGATAGGGTGATGTGGGTGTGTGTGGTTTGGAATCAATTAACTTTGTGTGTGTGGAAAAATGGTTGTTTCTAGGCGGTGGGTGTCGACGAGTTGGAAGATGTTTCAGCTGGTTGTGCTGGTGATGATGAAGAAGAAGTAGCAGGGGCCTTTTCTTTGTTTGCTGCTGCCATTTGCCAAGCTGGGATACCTCCTTGGCTACCACTGCTGCTGTTATTCAAGACACTGGAGAGACGTGCAGAAAGGTTGGTAGTAGGCGAAGGGGCACTGGGTGAAGAAGCAACATTGGAAACGACCGATCCATTGGTGGTTGTGGTAGCTGCACCAGCGTTGTTGTTATCAGATGGAGTGATGGGACGACGTGCCATTAACAAGGACTTTAGCGACTTGACTTCATTTTGCAAATCATTCAAAACGTTGGCTTGTGATTCCTTGTTACGCTCCAACATCTAGTGATGGACATCAATCAATATCCCATTCCATTCCATTCCATTCCATCAAAAAAGTACACTTACTCTGGGCACTTCATCCTTGAGTGATTGAACATCATTCTTCAAATTCTTGAATTCTTGATCACGCTCAGCATCGCTTTGTTTCATATCCTTCAACACCTTGTCGAGATCGCCCAGCGAATCATCGATCTTTTTGGATTGCGTAGATACTCTCTTCAGTGCATCACCCGTTTGCTCCTTGAGATCTTTCAATGAATCCTCCACTAGAAAAAGTGAATTAGTCATCCACAATTTTTTTGGTATATCGAGATGAGATGTGCAAGCACCTACCTGCTTGGAATTGGGCATCCAGGCTTTCCTTATCTTCTTCAATCTCTTTCTTTGTAGGGACTTGGAACCATGGACCAAACAATTTCTATCATGTATCATGAGCATTTCATCCATGCCTCCCTCACTTTACCTCTTAAAAATGCTTACCTTGGCCAAAATCCATACGCCATAACTGATACCTCCTGCCAGAGTTGCTGCTACAAAGATATCACGCCAATCATAGGAAGGACGAGCTGGTACGGGTGGTGGTGGTGCTCCTGCATGTGTCACAACAGGTCCTCCAGCGACAGGTGGTTGTCCATTTGCAAGTACAGGTGGTGCTGCTGGTGCTGAGGTCGATGCACCGGTTGATTTGCCGTTCACTCTTGCCATGGCCTCTTCGATTTCCTCAGAAGTCATGCCTTTGGACTCAAGAAACGACACCTTCTTAGCCAATGGAGCCGATTGCACCTTTGGATCGGATAGGAAGGAGATGGCGGATGATATCAAGTCTTCACGTAGAGCCATAAGTAAGTGAGTGAGTGAGTGTATAAAATGTGGGGAAGAGAGTAGTAGCAAGTATGAGAGAGTATATTTTCGCTTACACATGTTAGGCAAAAGCATCTCCGCTTACCAACCAACCAACGCTTCAGACACTGTTGGTGGTGTAACACAGCTCAAATCTAATGCCATGCGTGGATGTTGTTGGGCATCTCCAATTTCCTTCTTTTTCCCACACACTTTTTTCAGCATGTTCCGTTATTGCCGTAAAGCATTCAACCAACCCTTCACTGCACGTTTCTATAGCTCCGGTCGCCTTGTCAACAAAAATGTCCTCATGTAAGCAGCAACCATCATACAACTGCGTCCTCCTTCCTATTATTGACACGTTAACATCGCATAGTACGGGTGCTTCCTCTGGTATTGGTGAAGCATGCGCTCGTGAGTTTGCCAAAGAGGGTTCCAACTTGGTATGGATGGCTGTTGACGTATACACATACATACACACACACGTACATGCTCATCATTATTGATATCATAGATCCTTGCAGCAAGACGCGTGGAACGATTACAGTCACTCAAGGATGAATTATGCAAGACATATGCAGGCATCAACGTCCATACCGTGAACTTGGACGTGCGTGAGAAAAAAGCCATTGATGCAGCTATTGAAAGTCTACCGATGAAAAACGAGATCGACTGCTTGGTCAACAATGCTGGTTTGGTGATCGGCGTGGATCCCTTGAAAGATGTCTCTGAAGAAGCCTATGATACCATGTTCGATACCAACGTCAAGGGGTTAGTATTCGTTACTCAGGCTGTTTTACCCTACATGTTAGCTCGACAATCAGGCCACATCATCAACATTGGATCGGTGGCAGGTATGTGATGTACACTACGTACGAACGATTCATGCGTTATCTTATGCATTTCGATAGGCAAGCAAAGTTACCCCAATGGCAGCATCTATTGCGGTAAGCCCCTTATCGCATGATTGTTATGTACATACACATTTACTTATATACGAATGATGATGGTTGTAGCATCGAAGCATGCTGTGGATGCCATTACAACTGCACTTCGTTGGGAATTGATGAACACACCTCTTCGTGTTAGGTAAAATGAACTTCTCTATCGTGGTTTATGAAAGACCTTGGCTGACATAAAGGGGTGATCTAGTGAAATCAATCCTGGCATGGTGAATACAGAGTTCTCCACGGTGCGTTTCCGTGGCGACAAGGAAAAAGCAGACAATGTTTACAAGGGATTTGATCCACTTGTTGGGCAAGATATTGGTAAGTGTGTTATACGTACATACATATCTTTATTGTAAAGTTCATATTCTCATCCACCCACAATAGCCGAGTTGGTTACATTTACTGCATCACGTCCACCCCATGTCAATATCTGTGATATGCTAGGTATGATCGATATTCACATTCACGGGGGATAAAGGCACTGTATATTAACATGCTTTCCATAGTATTCCCTACCGCTCAAGCAGATGCCCGTACTGCTCATCGAAAAGAAAACTAAACCTCATCCCATTTCTCCCATTGTATCCAAAATGAATTTGATCAAGTGTCTTTTTTTTATGTTTTCTATACACAAGTGGGTGGATGGGGTGGAAAAAAAAGATGGATTTGGGTTATGGTTGGGTTGAGGAGGAAATGATAGGATGGATTCTTCTAAGCAGCATTAATGTCAAGGTTGTTGATGCGAAGCACAGTATGGGTTTGTTTATGCTCGATGGTACGCTTGTAGTTTTTTCTTCTCTTCTTTTTGACGATGCGGATGAGTTTGCTCTTGGTGTGTTCAATCACGGTGGCGTTAATGTTGTAGTACTTTTCATCGACAAAAGGAGCTCCCTTGATGGTGTAATCTTTGCTTCCAAGCTCACGAACACGATCGAGTTTGATCACATCACCCACGTTTACATCCTTGAGACGGTGCACGACCACCTTATCGTTCTTGGTAATCAACAAAGGACGACCTGCAATCTCGGCAATAGCATAGTATCGAAGTTGATCGCGAAGCTTGGTCAACAAGCCCTGGGAAGAAGCAGTAGCAGCAGCAGCAGCATCGGTTTGCACACTACGAGCAAATACTGTAATAATAAAAAAAGAGTGAGTGAGTCGTGTGCGTTCGTATGGCGTTGTGTCTGTTGTTGTGACATTTACGTGATTGCGTTGATGGTACTACAGCTATACAAAAGAGAAAGAGAGAAAGGGAAATGTCAATTGGGGAACTCATGTGCATTGTAAGGTGATATGTATATACCTCTTGAAGCAAAGTTCTTCAGGGCACCCAAACCCTTCAAGGCAGACAGCATCGTTGAGGTCGGTTGTTGTGTTATGTATGTGAGTGAGAGAGGTATCGTTGACAACAAGGAACCCAACCCAGAATATTGTGTGGCTTAATCATCACATCCCTCCCCTCCCCCCATGTCTCCCTCCCATTCCTTCCGCCTATCTTTTTGTTCATCATCTTCCTTTTATTATGAAGCTGTATTGGATGTTACAGTTCTAAGTTGTTGACGAAGGGCATCACTCCAAGCTATATAGTCCTTGTATCGCCGGGTATCCTTGTAATGTTGATGGCTGATCATAGAAACAATACCTGACCGGGGATTTGAAGTTGTAGTAGTCGTAGTAGTTGTAGTTGTAGTTGTAGTATTCTTCTTAGTTGCAGGCGTTGCTGCTGCTGATGGTTTTTCTATGGATTTACTGGTGGTGGTGGTGGTGGATGCTTCTTTGGTGGATCGTTTTCTACGTTTTGTATCAGGAAGTTGTACGTGCTGCTCTTCTTCATCCTCGGCTCGTCGGCGTGTCCTCCGTGTCACACGTGTGGATTGAGATGATGATGATGTCTCTTTTCCCTTGAGCTTCTCCAGGTCCTCTTTGCAAACATCATTGATCACCTTGATATACTTGTTGATCTCAGTGGATGTACAAGCACACATATCTTGAAGCTTCGTCTTGCCGATATTTTGCTATCCATAGTACCTTTAGCTTATACATCCCAATCCATCCAAGAACCTTCCTTACCCCTAATGTCTTTGCACATGTAAAAAAGAGGGCTCCTTTCCATGCAGGCACATCATTCAACTCACGAGATGCTTGTGTACGTTGTGCTCGAGGAATGGTGGATAGGTACTCCTTGCTGAAATCGTCCCAAACACGAGTGATCTTGGACAACATGGTCGTACATCCAAACGCCACTGCCAACGAGTCGAGCGATACATTCGGTTGCAGGTTGAGACTCTTGCGTACGGTGCTCACGGTATTCTCGTATTGTCGCTTGGTACATCCAGCAAGCTGTGCAGCTAACTTGGTATCCCACCCTTGATGTTGAGACAAGCTTTCACATGCCAGCTGAATGGCAACCACAGGTCTGCAATTGGGTCCCATATCAAAGATCTTGGTAGGCACCTTGGCGCATTGACCATAGACACTCTCTGCACGTGCACGTAAGGAGGGATCGTCGCCCAGATTGAGTCGATCGAGACAATGGACCAGTGGATTATGGGTAGCTGACATTGGGTGATAGATAGATAGATGATAGTAGAAGAAAAGTAGGCTGAGATTAAGGCACGTGCTTTACAACCACACCATTTCCCATTGTCCTATGTCCCACTAGTTTTATGATATATAAATATGTATTTGAATACGATAGACTATCTCCAACTTAGGTTTTTGTTACAGACCGTTGGGATCGACTAAATGCACTACTTAAAGAAGAGACACGTGCAAGCATGCGTTCTTGATGATATGAAGAAAGGGATGTGAAGCTGGCGGTGGATATCACAGACATGCGTTTGCTACGAACACTCATGGCAGCTGATGATCGTGTGTTGCTGGTACGTTCACGTGCTGGTGGTCTTGATGTCGATGATCGTAAACTATTTTGTGTGGCAACTGAGAAGCGTTTGCTTGAGCGTGGAGGAGGTTGAACACTGTAAATCGGATCCTATTTAGTATCCTATCCATTGTGGGGGGGGTGTAGAAATACTTTACCTTGCTGTGGATAGCAAACCATATTCTCCTTGACAGATCTTCTCGAGCAATTCCGCCAATCGATCGCTTACACTTAACAAAGACGCATTGTCTTGACCCACCAGCTTATCCACTTGGGGTTCAATAAGATCATTTGCAAGTCGATTGAGATTTTGGCCTATGGTTTCTTGATCCCGCTGTAAATCCTCGATAGCATCCTGCAAGTTTTCATGCACAGTCTGCAATTGTTCCAATTCATGAACGAGCCATTGATGTCTATCTTGGTCATCATGACCACCACCACTACTACTATTGCTGGTGTTGTTGTTTTCATCATCAGCAGTGGATGGAGGAGGAAGATGCTCGTGTTCAGGGCCAATCACAGACATGTCAATACCACCAGAGACTTCTTCAACAACCTCCCACACCTTGACAATTTCCTCCTTTCGATGTTGAACAATTGTTTCAAGCATATTCTTGAGATTGAATACTTGATGAACCACCTCGGCAGCATCATCATAAAGTGCGCTCATCATATTCCGTGTCTCCTCCAATTGGGCATTTGCTTGTGTAAGACTTGCTTGAACCTCCATCAAGATTTGCCTTGAGCGACCAATATGATTCTTGGCCAACACCTTGAGACAAAACAAACTGGCATCGAGACGTGCTACCAGACATTGCACTGCCAATTGACTCGTAAATCGTTCAAGCCATTGTGGTGCATACGAGGATGTCGATGCCCCTCCTCCTCCTCCTGCATGATCGCTTTGACTGCTACTGTTGCTGCTGCTTGCAGTATCATCATCATCCGAATCGAATACTTCCACCACCAAACTGGGATCCTCATTCCAATCCTTTTCAATACGCACCATGGGACCCATATCTGTTTCCAAACGTTCAAGTAATCCTTGCAAAAGCAACGGGGGCCGTGTTTTGCGTAATTGACTACGAACATGGCTGACTTGCTTCTCCACTTTGTCCAATTCGGTACGTAGCTGTGCACGATCACTTTCAAGTTTGGTGTGTTGATCAAATAACGCCTGGGTCTTTAGTAGTACTTGATCCATCTCTTTACGAACATCCGCTTCGGGTCGCTGTGGATTGGCTGCTGAGGCTGCAGCTAATTCATTCTCAAGCTTGATAATCGTGTCGTACATGTTGCGTTTACTGGCAACAATTTGAGCCACTTGTTGATTGAGCTTGTCGAGATCCTTTTGAATTTCATACTGGTTGGAATGTAAAATCTCAAAGGAAAGTTCCAATTCGTTGAGCGTGCTATCACCAGGTGCTGCTTTACGATGTGAATACAATCGGGCTACAGTCATCTGTTGTTCCCAGTGACGTGGACGTATAGGTGTGGTGGGGGTTGTGGGAGTGGTGGTGGCAGTGGTTGATCCAGGTGCAAGCGTTGTAGATCCATTACTACTACTGACCACAGTGCTGCTGGTGGCTGTATTGGTGTCATCATGTTGTCCTTGTGGTTTGCTCAAGGCTCGTTGTACTTTTTCCCACTTGCTCGCAATGGAATCGTACATTTGACTTATATCCGTTGTTGCTGATGACGCCTTTTTCTTTTTATCAAGCTCGGCAAGTGCAGTGGTAACCATGTCTCCAAGATCATGTGTCAATCGTACAATATCTTCGCGTGCGTACAATGCTGGATCGACAGCAAGGGTATCGATAATAACAAGTGATTGAAGGAGGTTGTTCATAGCGCCTGTAAATTCATCATCGGATCCGCATTCGGCTGAAGGATTCTTGGAATATCGCAAAGTCGTTTTACGCATAAGCTCAATTTGCCCAATAAGCTCCTCTTGTTCAAGTTCAAGCTGCATGAACCTCCCATCAATGCGTTCAAACACGTCGTAGAGCTTCTCAACCTTGTCACATTGCAATTCGGATAAATCCCAATCGGCTTGATGGATTTGCTCCACTTGCTCAAGCTCCTCACGATAATGCATCATTACTTGCTCCACACGCTGATCCGTATCATCAAACATGTCATGGGCTTGCTGTAGCTCAAAGCGTAATCGGGTGACGTTGCCATACACTCGTATACTCGATTGCACATGTTCATCCCGTGACATTTGAACATTGCTCGAAAACATGTCGGTGATCTTGGCAAGGGCCGTCTCAATGCTCTCTGTGAATGCTGTTTGGTAGCTGAAAAATGCTTTAAGGATCTTTTCAAAATGGCGTTCAATCTCGTCCTCTGATGATAATGATTCGTCGCTGGTAGCACTGCTCTTATCCGGCACCGAACCGCGTCGTCCGCTACTACTATGATGCCATCGTTGCTGTTGTCGTGCTGCTGCTGCTGCCGATTGCAATGTAGATCGTGATGCTGATCGTGATAAGGTCGACTTGTAATCACTGGCGGTGTCGAATGGCTTAATGTTATTGCTCGCATACGTGGATGTCGACTTGGTCTTGCGTTCATGCTCCAATGCTAAACATTGCCATGTTAATAAACATCACACACAGCGTGCCTTTTTTCCCCCTCCATCTTACAAACCTAAAATCCTGTTCCTGATTTCCTCAGTGCGGCACATGTCAAGTGGTGTCATTCCTTTTTTGTTCTTGAGGGTCACATCAGCATTTCCTTCCACAATCAATGCTTCCAATACTTCTGGAACACCTCCAAATTCAGCTGCAAAATGCAATGGTGTGTTTCCATTGGGGTCAGCAATATTGACCAAGGCGCCAAGTCGGATCAATAATGAAGCACACATGGCAAGATGCTGAGGTACAGTAGGTGCAGCCATGATATGCCTTGCCACTGGATCACTGATATCATTGCTGCCATAAGATGAACCCGATGCTGATGATACTGCACTTTGGGATGAATAACGATTGTCGTTGCTTTCAATAGGTTGTGATGACAGCGATGAGAGTGAATTCATGCGTACAGGTCGATGAAGTTTGACAGCGGCTGCGGAAGATGATGATCCACCACCACCACCACCACTACTATCATGTTTGCTGTTCTTTTGAATGCCCCAAGTCTTTCCATCCTTATCTACACCGAAACGTGCAAGATGATGCAATGCTGTACGACCGAGCAGTGTTTGTGAGTTGATGTCTGCACCGGCTTGATATAAAAGGATAAGGGTATCAAGGGAAGGAAGTGGCTTTGTACGCATGGCATAATGCACCGCTGTAAGACCTGTCTTTGGATCATGGTAGTTGACTAAAAGTGGGCCTGAAAGAGGGCGTTGATCAGGTGAAACGGGTGGTGACCATAGCAACAAGGTTTGCAACGTATGATGATCATGACTTTTGACTGCCTGCAGAAAAGCGGATCGAATGATTTGGATGATGGGTGCACCCATGGGATCAAGAAGATCGATATCTTTGAGCGTATCGAATTTGACGTGTGAAAGCGACGAGGGGTATTCGGGAATCGATGTCAGCAATGTTGACAATTTGGTGTAGTTGATGGGATATTTGGATAACTGCATGTTGCTTCCATATAAATGCTGAAGAAGAAAAGTGGGTGAGGTCTCATTGTAGAAGGAAACAAATGCGTCCACGTACTGTCATATCGGTGCGTTTGCAACGTAATGCTTCCTCATAGAGCTGAACAATGGAAGGACTTCGACCAGCATACTGAATAGCTGACCAACCATGCGCGTCGGTAATATCAGGAGATGCGTTGTAACTTAAAAGTGTCTTGACAATAGGCAAATTGCCATCGCGTGCTAGTAAACATGAGTTGGATGTTATTGTTTTTTTTTTGGCACCATGTATAAACTTTCTCACCTGCATACATCAAAGCAGTAGCACTTTTGCTGTCAGTGCCATCGACATTGACACGACCATCTTCTAGCAGTAGCTGGATCAACTCATCCTTTCCAAGATAGCTTGCCAGGCATAATGGGGTGATGCCTTTGATATCGTATTGTGGTGAATCGAGTGTTGTGACGTAAAGATTTGGGTGAACAAGGAGGATGTTCTTCATAATGTCGGCATGGTGTGGATGTGTCTGTGAGATCAGGGGCAAATTGGTGGTATTAATGTCGGCTACGTCGACGTCAAGTCCAAATATAGCGCACACCAGTGCTGTCCTACACAACCAAACCAGCAACGTGTGTTACACAAAGGAGGGGTTCAATCCATCCACCCATCCACCCAGTAACTGGGCATATTCCTTTTTCCTTTACCTTCCTCTGCCATCCTTTAAATTGATATCAGCACCAGCACTTAGCAATAATCGCACCATATCGGCATGGCCACCAATCACAGCAATGTTGAGGGGTCGGCTGAGATATTCTTTGCTGGATTGTATTTGTTCTCGAAGTTCAGGTCGACTTGATGCATCGGTTGGCAGTACAGGTGAGTGAGTGTTTTTGGCGTTCCATAAGATATGGCTGTTCACATCGATGCCTGATTGAATAAACTGCCGTGCCTTTTCAATATCATTGTTTGCGACGACCACCAAAAAGTCCATGAGGAGAAGAGAAGAAAGAAAAGAGGAGAATACTCAAAAGGAAAGCGAGTTGGGGACGGGGAAAATAAAGAAGGGGAAAAGAGAAGTGGTGTGTGTGTGCGCGTGTCAATATAAATTTGTAGTCCCGAGAATAATGTCCTTTTCGGAGTACTCTTTATCCGAGGGTTGATAGGTGACACTGATCTACACTGGGTCATCGTCGTCGGCGATGATCTCTCTCTCTCCCTCTCTCGTATCATGCAAAGCATCCACATGCAACAGAATAGAATGGTTTCAAGATGAATTGGATTGAATGACGTTTTGAACAAATTGCTGGTCTACGTAAGGCTCTGTAATCCACAATGCTGAGCATCCATTCAAATGTTGTTGTGTATAGCATCCTCGCTCCTTCACTATCGATTGGATAGATTCCTATTCAATAAAGTCATTAGTAAATAGTATCCCATGCGCATCACATCATCGCTTACCTTGAGCATATACTCTTGGTCATACATCTCCAAGTACTTGCTTAGTGTCTCGAGGTCCGATTGGTATCCTGCTGCTGCATCGTTGCCATGCGACTTGTTGCTTCGTTCCATCACGCGGTCGTATTCAGCGTACATCTTCTCAAGCACGTCCTTCACTACAAGAAGGCCATGTCAGCTACCAAGTCAAGTTGCATCCACACTCTATTGTTGACATACATCCTTGCATAACTTTTGTCAGTGCTGGAACCGTTTTGCTTGGATCGCTTCGATCGATCGACGCCAACACCTTGCCTCCTTCTTGAGTTATCCGGGACCAAGATTCAGTGCTTGTGAATTCTCATGTCAATACGCGATCGTTCGTTGAAAGCACGAGCCACCTACCACTCACGCAATGTGTCAATGTTGACGAGCATGGATCGAAGGTAAAGCGGAAGAGAAAGACAAGTTGGCCCCCTCTATTTTCAGTTCTTGTTAATCCATTCTCACACACGGCACCATTGGCTTTCGACATACAACGTACACCATCAAAAGCAACCAAGACAACGACGCGCATTGCCACTGAGATCGTCCCAGCATGTTGTATAATATATGGTATGGCAATACGATGGCACGATCCTCTGCATGTTCCTTTACTCATCATCTTGCTCTTTCCCCTTCCCTTTCTCTCCTCCTCCCCTTTGACAATAGCATGGTCTCTGACTTTTTCTATCCCAACATGGGTGGGGTGGAAAGCCATCTATATCACTTGTCAGAGCAATTGATTCGACGTGGACACAAGGTAAATGGGATTGATTTAGATGCATGGTACGTGTGTGGGTATGCATTAATCAATGTCTCCTCCCTTCAGGTGGTGATAGTAACACATGCATACGGCAATCGTACAGGCGTACGCTATTTGACCAACGGGCTCAAAGTGTACTATGTACCGACGATGGTGATTCATGCTGAAGCAACTCTCCCTACCATCTATGGCTGTTTCCCACTCTTGCGCAACATTTGGATCAGAGAGAAAATCGATATCATTCACGGCCATGGTGCCTTTTCTGCTCTTTGTCATGAGGCGATTCTACATGGAAAGACAATGGGATACAAGGTGTGCTTTACCGATCATTCGTTATTTGGTTTTGCCGATGCAAGCTCCATCCTTACCAACAAGCTGCTCAAGTTTACACTAAGTGATGTCGATCATGTTATTTGTGTATCACATACAAGGTGAGTAGTCATCATGGATGGATGTTGAAGTGATTTTGTATATTCATGCGTATGTGAAAAGCAAAGAAAATACGGTGCTACGAGCGGCCTTGTCTCCAAGAAACGTATCTGTCATTCCTAATGCCGTGGTAGCTTCCCAGTTCATGCCCGATCCTTCGGCACCCGATCCCAATTGGAGTAAGTGTGGCGTGTGAAGAATGGGTGGGGGCTATGTTTTAGATGCTCATCCTTGTCTCTCTCTCTTAAGTCACTATTGTTGTCATCAGTCGGCTGGTTTACCGGAAAGGAATGGATCTACTTGTGGCTATAATTCCCCGAATTTGTGCAATGCACAAAAACGTGCGTTTCATCATTGGTAAGTTGTGTGTGAATCATGTGCTCCAAAAGTTATTCTCCCACTGACCATGTGTATGTATGTATGTATGTTATGTAGGAGGAGACGGGCCAAAGAGGATCGATTTGGAACAAATGCGGGAGAAACATTTATTGCATGACCGTGTGGAGCTACTAGGGCCAATTAAACATCACGAGGTCCGCAATGTGTTGATACAAGGCAACATTTTCTTAAATACCAGCTTGACCGAGGCCTTTTGCATTGCTATTGTGGAAGCTGCATGTGCAGGGTACGTACGTATGTCATGGATTGGATTGGAAACAAGGACTCATATCTATGTTGTTGTAGTCTATTCGTTGTAAGCACCAAAGTGGGTGGCGTGCCCGAAGTGCTACCCAGCCACATGATTAACTATGCCATGCCTGAAGAAGATGGTAAGTAGGAGTAGTAGTAGTAGTCCAATGTATGTGGATGATACTTAATGTGTGAGAATATGCATTATTAGATTTGGTCCTTGCCATATCCAAAGCAATTCACATGATTCGATACGAAGAAGTTGATCCCAGCCGGTTTAATGATGAGCTAAAGGACATGTATAGCTGGTCTAACGTGGCCGAGCGCACCGAAAGGGTAAGTTGCTGGATATGGTAAATAGCGCTCTCAGCCTGACTCATTCATTGTTATGTTAGGTCTACGACATGATATCTCAAACGCAAGAGGCACCCTTGATCGAGCGATTACGTCGATACTATGGATGCGGCATTTATGCTGGCAAGATTTTTTGCATGGTGGTGGCACTCGACTATCTATTCTGGATGTTTTTAGAATTCATGCTCCCCAATCATTCGATCGAGCGTGCTGAGACCTTTCCCTACAAACGATATCGAGACGCGTTGCATAATCATAACACCTTATCACCATTACATAAACACATGAGGGCATCAGATTGACCAAGAAAAAAACAACAAACGTATATATATGTACACGCGTAATATGACACGCAAGAGGAGAAGGGGTGTACAAGACAACTAGCAAAAGCGAGAGAGGGTATTTGGATGTGGAATCCGGTAGGGAGGGGGGAAAGATAGATAAATAGTGTTGTTGCTACTGCTGTTGCTGTTGTTTTAAGCCTGGTATTCTTCCACCAAATGCGTATTGTACAAAAGCATTGGAAGTTGCTCTATCATTCTTTGATGCTCTCGGTTCGTGGATGTGTTGGAGCTTGAAGAACTTGATGCGCTCTTGGTGGGGCTTTGTATATCTGCTGTAGATGAATCATTACCGGTGGTGGTGGTGCTACATTGTTGCTTCGCCTTGGCATAGGCATCTAAGCCAAAGTTCATCCAGCCATGCCAATCCTGTGTCCCTGATAGCTGTTTGGCCCATTGACATACGATACCCCATTGAGCAACAAGTTGAGATGTCAAACGCACCTCACCAAATAAGATAGAAAATAAATGTTGTTGTGCAGCCAATGGATTGCCAATACTACCACCATTATTTCCACGCATGGTGTATAGCTTATCCAATGTCTGCAAAAGGCGAGCAGGATGCGAAAACGATGATGATGATGATGATGACGATGATGCATCCGGCAAGTTGGCGGCGGCTATACTCGTATCGAGATCACAGCGTTGGTTGTACTGGATAATGTGTACAAGAGCCACCTCCAAGTCGTTAAATCGCAACAACGTTGTTGGCTTATTATTTGTGGACGATGATTGGTGTGGCGCAGAGGTCGATGAGATGGATACATCAAAAGTCGTATTTCCCATATCGCTGTCGGTGTGATGAGTGGATGACGCTGGCAGCTGAAAGGATGGTTTATTAGCATTACTGCTGGCGGTGGTGGTGGTGGGCGAGTTAGATGTAGACGACAATGCTGGTACATATCGGCTCATCTCTTCAATTACTTGCAATAATGCTTCATAGTCACGGCAATGTCTTGGCTTGGTATCTTCCCTAATTCTACCTAGCTCTCGCGCGATCCATTCTTGAGCTCCTACAGTGTCACCTAAGGTGCAGTCTCTGAGGAGGACACCTGATGTGGATGAAGGAGAGAAGGACATGGGAACCAAGACTGAACCAGTGTCCAGGGTGGATAATGGCCGATGCATTATGAAAGAAAGGTTTATATAAGGATGATGGTGCGGATATATATATATGTCTGGAGAGCAAAAAAAAGGCTTATAATAGATGCGCAAATAGTAGGGTTTGGTATATCGCAGAAAGAAATAAAAACTCTGTCTCTTGTAAAAGCCCACACACACAATAGGATTATTACTATTATGCTTGCATTGCTGAGAACAAGAGGAGGAAAAAAGTTAAATAGAAAGAGGGAAGGCACGGCCAAAGGAGTCTTGTTCCTTTCCTTTTTCTGCTCTAACGGATGCTGTTTCCCAAATAGGTATCAAAGTTCCATGAGTATCCTTTTTGGAATGGCATGTCGACCAAGCCCGCTTGCATACACACACACACACACACACATACACACGCGCGCACACATGGACGATACACATGCATATGGTGCCATGATTAGATACCAAACATGAGTACAAAAGAGATGAAAATGGGTCGTTTGATCAGGTGATGGGGGATTTGAATTATACACAGCATGAACCACCATGACAGCTCCAAACAGCCAAAAGACAAAGCAGCCAGCGTAAAAGTTGACAGTGACGAACGTAGCATGTAACACAGAAACCTCGTTGAGCTTCCTTTGTGGAACAGCGGATCAAATAGACATTTTGCGGAGTGCCATGCACATCCACTTTTTACCTTTGACAAAGAGCCGTTCGTCGTTTGCCTTATTCATCCTTCTTTTTGAATGCATACCATATAGAGTTTATTGTGTGGTGCACTGCCTCATAAAATTTCGAAACGAAAAAAGTTTGATAATGATGCTAACATGCCATGATCTTACAGCAGGGTCAATAAACAATCGCTTCTTCTTCGACTTGCTGGTTTAGATGATCGATCAGCTTTGCCAAGCCCAATGTTGCATTTCCTCTCCCGATATGGATGACGCTTCTTTTCTTTCCATTAAGAGAAATTGCTGCTTGTCAAGATACCAAATGCAATGCATACATCACTACATCACGTCGTTGTCGTAGTTGTAGTAGCAGCTACGATTCGCAGCTTGTCAACAAGGCCATATACGGCATGGGCGTTGATGGTGATGCAAGTGCCTATCCATTGCCATGGTCTCTTTGTATTCCCACCACAAGCGTAGCAGCAAGCATGTGGTGGCACATATTGCATCAGGTAGTATCTTGATGGCACACGTGGGTGAATCATAAGAAAGTATAGCCGCTGGGGGATCATTAATGTTTATCTTCCATGTGTGTACTTTGCATGGAGGCGTGACCAATGGTATATAGCTCCTATGCCAGGGCTTAGCAATAAAGCTATCTACATACTACCATCAGCAGAGCAACGTGGTCTTCTACCGTGTATACATGAATCATCGTGTTCCGATTAATGGGATTTTACCCATCATCATAGGACTTTACTATCCCACCACTTGAACATCCCCGCGCGGATAAAAACATATAGCCGTGGGGTTTTGAGATTTCGCGTGGCGTGGGCTGAGCACGAATGCCACCACCAACATATCCTTGTAAGTGTAGTAGCCAAAGAAAAATACCACATTTAGTAAGAAGGACCGAACAAATCCTAAATAGATGACACCTACGTCCCTTTTATGCAATCAACGAAGATCAGTACTACTTTATCTAAGTTATCAGAGAACAATAAGGTAAATCGTTGGCCTCCTGAGCATTGACATTGATGATGTCCATTGATCACTCTTACGCAAAATCGGTTGTAATGGCCATCGACGCCTATTTTGTTTGAGAATATGCAAGGGCAGCATACTCTCACGGTCGATAGCAAACAATGTTGAGTATATGTTTAGACCAAGTACGATTCTTCCCAGATCTTGGTTGGGGTGACCATTATTCATCTTCATGTTGTTGCCTGTGTTTGACCGTAAGTCCCCGATTTCGTGGAACATGTGGATCGAGATTTGATGAGCAGCACTCTACTCTCCAGCACAACGCCCCCTTTTTTCCTATTATCACAAAAGCCATCATGATCCGTGAAGGGTTAAACTTGGGATGTTCGATGCAAAGTGCATGGTTCATATATACTGAGATAGGCTGCAATCGCCGATAGCTATGGATGATTTCGTGAGGGAAGGGGATCCCTGATTTGCCTTGTGGAAAGGAGATCGGCGTGCATGGGAGATTGATCCATGGGCAAAATGTTCGTCCCATTGGATGGTCACAAGAAGAAAAAAGATACTTGCAATGGATCATCCTTCTCCCCCCCCACCCAGTAAACCCCTTAGCTGCATTTGTCAGTTATCTACCTTATGGGAGAAATGAGCAGCACAATGGCACTTGCCATGCGTCGTGGCGAAACATGCATGCACACTAGTAATGTATCTGCTGCAGTAAGAAACAAAAATGATCCCGCTTTCGATAAGCAATAGCATCGACATGATCGATTTTCGTTTTAAGATATCCCAAAAAACGTGTAAAGCAGAGCACCATTTAGGAGTAATATAGGGAAGGAATCCAAGATCCTGTGTGTTGTTGGTTGCCACCAGCCACCTATTCTAGCGAACACTTAGACCATGAGCTTAAAGAAAGTTGACATATCCCCCACGCTTTGATTCGATCTCTCCCTCTCAGTGGGTGCTTCTCTCAATCACCCTCTCTCTTTTTTTTTCTTCTTTACTAAGGCCCATTATCTTTTCCATATTCTACAAGCCCCCATTCTTCTAACAAAGGAGAACACCACCATCATCATCCATATGGTGCCATTGTCTCTATAATTTACGAGAAGAATTAGTCGTCATTGTTTGGTGTAGCGGTGTGCATGAATTGTGTGACAAGGGTCTCATTGATCATCGCGTATGTTTACCCAACACACAATGGCCTACCATGAATGAATGACATCCCACTTTACCTATCATAGGATACGTACAACATGGCTAGGTATCCGTCATCATCTCCTCCCGAAAAATGGGAGAAGAGATTGATCTGGGATAGGGAGGGTGGGAATTGTGCTTGGCTTTGGAAGAGTAAGTTGGCGGTAAGCTTTGGAAGAAAAGAGTAATCGACCATGCGATCAGTGTTCTCTTTGAAAATGTACCTATGTGTCGTAAAAGCTCTCTTTTTCCCCCTTCCCGCAGCCAAGCATCACACATACGCTTGCACATACACGCACACACTAGCAACCCCTCTTGTTTGTAGTACCCTTAACAACGACATCGCACCCCTTTCTATTGCTCTTTGTATTCTTGATCCAGCCTTGAGCAGCTCACTGACTTATAAAATGACCTCCATTCATCCCTCCCCTTTTTAAACATCCACATCCCGCTTTTACCTCATTTCTTTTTTTTCCTTCATCATCCTATTTTATGTCTTCAGCTGTCAAATCCAAAGATCGATCGTCCTCTGCAGGTCAAAAGTTTTGGCATTTGAAGAAACTCGCTTTGGGAAAGGCCAACAACAATGGTGATCAACCCCATCAGCGACCACCTAGCCCAGCAGGTACATAAAGGATACCCATGAAAAAGAAAACATGAGACACTCACGTTGTTTATAGAGTCGGCTTATTCCATTGATACGATGAGCTTATGTGATGTAGAAAGTCCAAAGCCCAGAAGCAAACGATTAAGGTGAAGGGTGTAATGCATGATTATTAAAGGTCGCCTACGTATTAACCAATGACATGTTATTTTATGCAGCGTGCTATTGTCACACAGACGTCAAAGCGGTAGCAACAACAAAGTATCTCCTTCAAAGGGAGGAATGTCATCAGCAATGAGTGTCCAAAACATCCAGGCGCTTAGTAGCAATACGTCCTTGCACAACACGGTGCGAGCTTCTAATACACCAACACGACCCAGTGTGCGTCAACGTACCATGTCCCATACTGCTGGAGCTACCAATGCCAATGATACAAGAGCAGCATTTCTTCGAACACGCCATAGCAGTGGTGAGCAACAACAACAACATCAACCTCAACTTTCTCGCCATATGAGCATCAAAGATCAACAACAACGAGGAGCTTTTAGTAAGCCTCATGAAGATGATCCTGCATCCAATGGTAGACGTGTACGTGGTTTACGACCAGCAGCCTCACTTGCCAATTTAAAGTCGGCAAGCAACAATAGCCGATATAGTAGTGATGACCAACAATCACCCCCTTTGTCACCAACAAGTCCTCGTTCTCAACAACAATCACCCGTGCTCTTAGCTGCATCACCTGGTGGTGGTGGTGGTGGTGGTAATCGCCCAATGTCCTTAGCCAACACCACTACTACTACTACTTCGCGTGCAAGCAAACCACCCACTCCACGCAACTCACAACCACCCACTCCAAAGTCACCTGTATCCAAGGAAGGTGCTGCTGCTGCTGCTGCTCAAGATGAATCGGATGTTAGCTGGTCAAGCCAAGAAGATACGACCAAGGATGATGATAGTCTTTCATCCCATTCATTCGAAAGTAACAAGGGATCCGAAGAGTATTGGCAACACAAGTTGGAAAAGGAACGGGCTGTCGTTAAAGCATTGCAACGCCAAAAAGAAGGTAACACGAGTCGTATATACATTGCTGAGCACACATTCTCATGTTTGTCTTGGCAGCTTGTAACAAGGACATTACTTTTCTGAGTCAATCGGTGGATGAGTTATCAAGCGAAAAGCAAGAATGGAAACAAAAATATGAGAATGAAAAGGTACCATCAAAACGCAAACAATGAAATGAATGCTCATTCTTGAGGGTTGTAGACAAACAAAGAAAGGATCCAGGATGATCTTTCTTCTACTACTGATAAATTAAATGAGACAAGGGAGCAAGTCAAGTAAGCTTTTTTCGCACAACGTATGAATGCATGATACTTATCTACTTTATCCAGAATGCTTGTTACTGAGAATGATCAATTGCGTACCGAACTGCAGGATCAGAAGCGTAAATACGAGGAGAGCATGCAAAAAGAAAAGAAGGATGTCGACCATGAAAAGTTACAAGCACAGTTGCGTCATTCTCAAGACCAAGTACGCGTGCTCAAGGCTACGATGGAGCAATTCCTTCGCATGGGTATCTTTAGTGAAGAGCCATCCGTGTATCAGGACATTGCGTCGCGTTTTAGTACACAGCTAAAAGCAAGGTATAGTTTTCCTCATGATCGTATTACTGCATCATCACTCATACATGTTATGTACTACTATGTAGCCCTGTCGAATGCATAGTTGAACGACAACAAGTAGCAACAGCACCACCTACGCCACCCACACCAGCGGCACAAACATCATCATCTGAGCCAAAACAAAAAGATGAGGGGTCATCCAAGAACAAGGACAAAGAAATCAAGTCTCCGGCAGACCTTGATGTGGTTTTGCGAGAGCTCACACGGGAAAAAGAACTCGTACGTGGACTTTTCATTGTTATTCTTTTCTTATTCCTTATCACAGTTTTCTCTTAATGTGTTCCTCTTTCATTATTGTCTACTATTATACTTACGAATACGATCTTTTTCTTTTCACTTGTAAAGCTCCAATCTGAATACAGCAAGATCCCTATTAGTGGTGTAAACGCATTGACACGCCGTCGTAAGGAGGAACTCGAGGAACGGTTGGATGCGGTGGATTCTCAAATGAGCAAAACCAAACTCAAGTATCGAGATCTCTTGAAAAAGTAGTAGTATAACAAACGTCTTCTTTTTACTCACAGTAATAAAAAAAAGAGGAAGCTATCCTAATTGCATATGATATCAAACAAAGGGTTGGGGGAAATCTCCTCCTGATATGGCATTTTGGGATGACGCTTGTACAACAACAACGGTTGTCCTGCATAGGTGAGTGTCTCCATGACAAATACGTTTCTCTCGCCAGCACCACAGCCGCACCACCCATGGCTCAACCTTTACGCACCGTTGTCGTTAATCCCACAGCAAAGCATACCGCCACCGTCATTTTCTTGCATGGCCTCGGTGATTCGGGTGTTGGTTGGTTGTTCCTGACAGAAGCCATTGCTCCAATGTTGCCGCATGTAAAGTGGGTCTTGCCTGATGCGTAAGTGTTGTCCACAACTCGTCCCATTGCAATTGCATTGCATTGCACCACAGCCTGATACTTGTTACTGTTGTAGTCCCATGCGACCTTTGGAAGCAAACGATAACTTGCCAACCCCTGCCTGGTTCAATATTCCTTCCTTTCTCAAATCAGCCAATGTTGCAAAGGTGGATGAACAAGGGATGATTGATTCTGTCAATGCAGGTACGTACATACATACATTTAGAAGGCATATCCACCTGACAACGTACTATCCATAGTCAACGAGTTGATCGAGAAGGAAGTCCGTGACACTGGTATCCCATCCGACCGGATCGTATTGGGAGGGTTTTCACAAGGTACATAAAAAGGGATCATAAGGGTATCTGTATCAAGCGTATTGATCCATCAACAACACTATGTAGGTTGCGTTATTGCATTGTTGACAGGATTCTTGTCCAAGCACAAATTGGCAGGTGTTATTGGTTGCAGTGGTTGGTTAGGAGTGTTGTCAATTATGGAAAAGGTTGGTAGTAGTGGATGGCAGGAAGAAGAAGAAGCATAAAAGTACTTATTACTCCACATCCAAGAACGCTTCGGACGTCAACAAAGGCACACCCTTTTTGCTATGCCACGGGGAGGAAGATTTGGTGGTGAAACCAAAATATGGACAAGCTTCTGCAAAGTACTTGAACAAAGTAGGACACAATGCCACATTCAAGTTGTATCCAGGGCTGGGTCATGCTGCTGGACCGAATGAGATAGCCGACATTGCTGCATTTCTCAAGGAACAATTACCACCACAACCTGTCAAAAGCAAGCTTTAATTATGTATCCGTATACTTCATATCTGTAGAGAGAGTAATAGTTTTATTGTATTGGACATGTTTGTTATTAAAGCTATCATCATCATGATTGACAGCACCACACCGCATGTTGTAAGGACAATCAAGAAGATCTAATCTTTGCATGGGCGCCACAAATATTGCATCTTTCAACTTTTATATGATGAAAAGCATCCCAATACCACCAGCCCCACTTTTATGCATCCTAAATGATGCCTTTGGAGGTAAAATATCATAGGTGTGCTGGATGCGTAAAACGCTGTATGTATGTATAGTAATAGCAACCATGTGCACAATGACGATCGGGAATACTGATGACCCCATCTGGGTTAAAGAAGATCTTGTGGCCTATACAAAGGTATGTAGCAGAGCAATGCTTTGTGCCTGGATGGTGGGATGTTGTATAGGTATGTATCGAGATCATGGAGCGAACAAGGAGTCAATTGCTGTTACACAGGCATTATCTAAATTACGGCAGATTAGCACCATGAGCTTGTATAAATTGATTCATTAGATGAAAAACAGACATCCCGAAACCATACCCGGTCGTGAATTGCTGATCGTTTTCAAAATAGGGTATTAGTAGAATTGGGTCCATACAATAACGCAAGGCACATCCATGCAAGTTCGTGGCCCATTTTACAAAGTTGCATGACTTTGGCAGAAAAGAGACCGAATCTTGTCCCGAGGACACATTTTAGCTCCTTCTTCTTTCTTGTATAGTAGTGCTCTTTCTTGTCGTTCATGCCCACGTCAATGGTGTTTTCTTTTCAAAGCTGTGCACCATATTACTTTCCTTTCTCATCATGAGCGACAATCACCCTGCTGAACCAGCTTGGCCATTGGATGGTCCTCCCAGAGATCCATCCTCCACTCCAGCATTAAAAAACAATTTGCAATGGTTGGCACTTGTTGTCCCTGTGGTAGTGGCTGCCATGATCTACCTTTGTTTACGAATCAGGAACATGCGACGACAACATAAACATGCCTCTGATAATGAACAAGTGGATCAAGAAGGATGGCTTGTACCATCTTCTGCCAGACGACATGCATCTTCCTCCTCATGTCTTGCGCCTTCTACCACTACTACCACCACTACCCCATCATCACACCATGCCACACGACGTCTTCCTCTTGTACGATTTTCAGATCCACTCCTCCAACAACCACCACCAGCAGTACATTATCATCATCATCATCACCAACGTCCAACCCAATATAGGACCAGTACTCATCATATAAGACGACATCATCATCGACGACGTACAAGACGTTCACGACCACGAACTCCACCACCAGCATACCCTGGATCATCATCTCCTCCACCACCCTCTTATGACGATGTCGTCGTTATTCCCATGGATGATAGTCGAGAAAATGAACCTCTTGCCCATCTCCAAAATGCATTGCTATCCCATCATCAACATTATGCATCCTCGGTTGCTGCACGTTCATCATGATATATAATATATTGTATTTGTTGTTATATGTCAGGGCTCGTAATTACAAGTTGTCTCTTCTATTATGATATCGATGGTGCACCTTTCTCGGTCAATTCAAATTCGCGGCCCAAATCAATTGTCTTGCCATCACTCTCACGCATCACTGTAAACTCGACCGTGGTCCAATCCTGTCCTCTACGCAATGATGAAAAGCGTACTCGTCCACGTTCACCTGTAATAGATCCTATACGTTAACCTATATCCATCCCCTAATAAAAGAACCCCTTCTAATAATGTATCTATGACTTACCATTGTTGCTACTGATATCAAAGGCAATAGCAACCTTGCCCTTAAAGTGGTTGACAGTACCGGTAATCCAAGGCCAGTTGTCGGCATAGTCGATTTGAGGACCAAGAAGCTCAATCACACGAGGGTCATAACGCACCATGAACAATGTGCCTGTGACAACACTGCTGGAGAGTCTCTGATAATTCAATGCTGTTGACAAGCCAACGATCCAGACTGCTGTACCAACGATCGCTCCACCAATAAGCCATGGTTTACGTGATTTAGGTGCTGCTGGAGGCAGTTCGCGTTCGACAACACGTGTCTTGTGAGCCAATTGTCGTGATTGAATGGCCCATGTCCGTGAAATGAAGGGACGTGCTCGTGAAAAGATACGGCTGGTCAGCATAAAGAATGTTGTTGGTGTAGAAGGAGTGCAAGCGGCCCTTGCTTAAAATGCCTGCCATAGCAACCCGCCATTCCCCGCTATGCATAGCATAGATGATAACAATGAATGATTGTATCCTTGCCACATTGTTGTGCTCTTTCCTTTTACAAATACCATGCATCGTTGCAGTCATCATCATCATCATCATCCACCTTTTCCAATTCCATTGAAATAAAAGTAGTCTTTGTCATTCAATGGCAAGAATGATTTATGCTTAACACGAGCCGAGACGCAGTATTTATTACATTGCATTGTTGTATCCATTGCATGTAGTGTGTAGTAGTAGTAGCTTCATGCATCGATTAAATTCTATTTCCATCACTACGGGTTGCCATGGGAGCCAACATACAACGATGATTGTGCGGCGGAAAATCAACCGCGGTTGGTTTTGTACATGCAGGTGCACTACTTGTCAGCTGGCGTGATTTCTTTTCCTCTTCTCTCGTTCACAACGTTGACAGAGTACTCAGCAATATGCAACGTGCAACACATTCTTTAAAGCTTTTTTCACGAGTTACAACAACTTCAGCAAGGCAATGGCGTTGCCATTTGCATACGGTAGCTGCATCAGTAAGTTTATTTTGTTCTATGCCAATGGCGATCTTTTACTAACGCTGTTGCAGCAACGGGCGACGACCACTTCTCCTAGTATGGCAGTATGGGCAGTAGCAGCCGGTTTTGTGGCTACCACAGGTGGCTATCTTACTTGGAAAAACACCATGCACAACCCTGTGCTAGCAGAAGCCAAGTATGCTGGAACCGTTGAAGGTGAGTGAGCGAGTCTTAGGGTGATGATGAAAGATGAAGAGAACTAATAGCGTATGTATGCATTCCATAGAGCCAAGTACCAAGTTGTCCTTCCCTATCAATTTGCAAACGGACTCGGATTGGAAACGCTTGGTGGGTCTCGGCCCTCGCACTGTCAGCTTTCTTGGAATCAATGTTTATGTGCTCGGCTTATATATGCGTAGTCAAGATATTGGTATGCTCAAGACGCTAAAAGGTTGGGAGGTATGGAAATGACACACGCCGTTGCCATGCATACATGTACATACGTTGACGCATGAAATGATCATCCAGCAATTTGATAAGGAGGAATTTCTATCAAAAGAAACCATGGCCATGACCCTTTTGGAACAGCCCATGGATGTCACGATTCGTATTGGTAAGTGCGTTGCATGTTTACATATAAAGATTGAAAAAGTAATCATGATGATGGTGGATAATAGTGCCTGCTCGAGGAACCAACATGCAGCATTTAAGGGATGGATTTACAAGATCTTTGCTTCAGCGTATGCGTGACCAATCTCATGACATGTCAGAAGAAAAGGAACGTGAAGTGATGAAGGCTATTCAAGAGTTCAAGAGCCAATTCCCACTCTCCAATGTTAAAAAGGGCACTGAATTCGTATTTACCAAGACGCGTGATGGTGGTTTGAAGATGGAATACGAGGTGAATAGATAGTATGGATGGGATCACGTGTCTAATGCTAATATGGATTTGCGTTTTCAGGGCAAGGATTTGGGTACAGTGAACAATGCATGGTTAGCCAAGAACTTTGTCATGGGATACCTGAATCCTACGACACCTGCTAGTGAAGTTGTAAGTACATCTCACACATGCACACATGTATTGTCCCGATTAACCCATCCATCCATCCATCCATATAGGCGAGACAAGACATTGCCAAAGGATTCGATACACTTTTAAACAACAAAGATCAATAGATAAATGGGAGCCACCATGATTCACATCTTTAATTAACAAAAGCTGGTCTTTGTCATCCTCATAATCTCCTTTCGTCATGCATGTATAATAACTATAGCTCAATTTCCTGAATACCATCCTTTGTTATAACCTTGACCATGAATCTCGGTAGATTGACAATGAATCGAGTCTTGAGTTCTTGGATGCATTGACGCAACAATTGCTTGCCTTGTTCAAGATCCATGTCCGCATGATGATAGCGATCCATCAATGAAGTACAAAAGTAGGCACCATAGCCTTGAGCACCGAATGGCAAGCGAACCATAGCACCGAGATAATCCACCCAATACAATTCAGGCTCCTGTGTCTTTGTATTGAAGCCTCCAATCAACATGTTGACTGCATATGGATGCTATACATGGTATGAGACACGATGCATAATGATGATAACGACGCTTTTATATATATATACATTACCCTGCTTCGAAGGGAGTCAGCAAGTTCTCGACGTGTGAACGTAGCAGCAGCTTTGGGTGATAAGTCGGTATCGTTTCGAATTTTGTAGAGCTTAATGTTGCGTTGAATGTACTCTGCAAAGTTGACAGTGTCGCCTGGTTCTCCTGAAAAGACCATGACGGTATGATCGTTGAGGTCGCGTGATTTGTCTTCGGTGCCCTTCATGACGACGATGCTGCGAGCTGATGTGGTGTCAGCGGCGATGATGGTGTAGTCTTTTCCGGTTATTCCAAAGAGGCACTCCATGATAGCAAGTAAAAGGTATATGTAAAAGACGCGCACACAGCTGCTTGCGCGGCATCACACATTGTACTCAGTGGGCCGACACATACGCATCTGGCACTGATGAACCTCCGCCATGGCAAGGATGACGTAAACCCACTCATTTGTGGGTGGCGGGTTGAGATGACACAGTGGGTAGAGGAGGGGGGGATGTAACCAAGCGCGCACTAGCAGCCAGCCAGCCCAGCCCAGATTAGTGGTCGCAAGAGGTACATTCACTGACTCCCTCTTTCTCTTTATTGAAGGTACAGTACCCCCCTACAACCATCCCCCCCACATCATCTACAGCACACAGCACACACATACACACACACACAAGATGAACCGATGGATGGATGGATGAATGAATCAATGGATGGATGGATGAATGACACGATCGGATAAATGTGCTGCTGCTGCTGCTCCTTTTTATTCTCTCTCTCCAACAACAATATCGACTCCAACCACTAATGCGTAACGCATGACTACCAACAGAATGTCTGCCAAAGTCGAGGAAATGCCCGAGCAAAAGCCTGTCAAGGTCGAGGACGTTGCTGAGCAACAACCTGCTGCTGAAGCTGCTGGTGAGCCTGAAGCTGCCCCTGCTGTTGAAACCCCCCAATCGCGTGGTGAAAAGAAGGCTCGTAAGGCTATCCTTGGTCTTGGCTTGAAGCCTGTTCCTGGTATCACTCGCGTCACTTTCACTCGTGCCCGTGGTGTATGTATCAATATCATCATAACGCGTGTACACGTGATTAATCATACTTTGTATGTTTGTATAGATCGTTTTCGCTATCGGCAGACCCGAAGTTTTCAAGAGCAACAACTCGGATACCTACATCGTCTTTGGTGAGGTCCAAATTGAAGACATGCGTGCTCGTGCACAACAAGCTGCTGCTCAACAACTCGCTGCTGAAGCTGCTGCCAAGGCTGAGGAGACCGAAGCTAACGCTCCCTCCACCGCTGCTGCCGCCGAATCTTCTGCCGCCGCTGAAGAGGATGATGATGAGGAGGTTGACGCTACTGGTATTGAGGAAAAGGATATTGACTTGGTTGTCAGCCAAGCCAACGTTTCTCGCAACAAGGCTGTCAAGGCTTTGAAGAACAACAACAATGATATCGTCAACGCCATCATGGTAAGTTGTCTCTGAAATCAATGCATGCATGTATATACTCACTCACACACGTCATTATTATCCCTCTATAGGAATTGACTATGTAAAAAAGTACAATGTTGCCATAAACAAGGATTTTTTTGTCGTCAATCGAAAATACAACTTAAACAACAGCAGCAATGTGATGATTCAATGGTGGTTGGGGGAACATGGATCATGATGATGATGATGATGATGGGATTTGGTGTGCAAAGACGCGGTGTCAATGCATGGCAGTCTTTTTTTTCCTTCACGTGTGTGACAGGGATCACGCAATATCGTATGCAGCATTGCAATCAATCTTATTTTACCACCTTCTTTCCTTCCTGCATACACATCTTTTTTGATCAAGACATTGTGCTCATGCGATATTCGCCGTTGCATTGGTCCTTCTTGTTGTTGTCATGGATGGCACAGACCACCACCATCTATGCTATGCCTCAATTCAATGAAGGTTTGTTTTTTTATCAAGATGAATCATCTCTTGCGTCTTATCATTGATTGGGACATACATAGTCAATGGATACCAGGTCAATGGCACACGATGTCCCTTGCAGACGTACCACGCCTTTCCTTGTCCACAGCTATGCGTGCGTGACATAGAGGATTGCCCTTTACATGTTCGGCCAACATGCCCACCCAATCACACTTTTTGCGTGGACGGCACTTGCCGCACACAATGTCCCTCTGATATCATATCCAAATGTGAATGCCGTGGTGCACCAAGGTTACAACAAGGTGCAGCAGCCTATCCTTGCAAATCCGGTGATACAGTTGACATTCCAAACTTCAACTCCTCCCAGCTGGTATCCCACCAGGCATGTGCCGATCATTTGGGTATTAGTTCGGTTTCAAATTGGGTCTCTGAACCTATCCACATGATGTGGGGCCAATGTCCAAAACCTGCATACGGTCACGTGACCTTCACAGAGCCTATCTACATTGGCATCTATGCCTTTTATGGTCTTTGCATCGGCACAATCTTAGGATGGTTGGCTTATAAACGACTTCAAGAAAAGGTACGAGCCATTGAGATTGAGAGATGACGCGTGTGTTGACATGTGCTTGTTTTCTTAAGCATGTCATTGAAGACTCCTACAAAGATGCCAGCTTGCAGCATATGAACCAGCTTTATGCACCAAAAGAAAAAGATCCAAGCAACATGCAGCAGCAGCAGCAGTACAATGGAACCAATGCTGCCAATGACGTACAATCGATGGATGATGACACCATGCTGATTACAGCTTATCGACGTGATATCATTGGCATGACATGCTTTGTCCTTTATGCACTCGAGACAGCTGGCATGGTGGTGCTGTTGCTTGTAATGACATACGATTACTATAATGACTTTTTGCTCTTTCGAGGTGACAAATTAATCCAGACAAGTGTAAGAATGGCTTTACACCATCAATGAATGTCGTATACTAATTGGGTAGTGTTATAGACGTTCATCGGCGTATGGTACATCTTCGTTATTTGGTTCTTTTGCTTGGTCCTCTTTCGAGATCGTTTGATCAACTTTTTCCGCATTCGATGTTCATATGACAAAGGGCAATACGTACAAGTGGAAAAAGATGAACCAGGTACACATACATACATACACACTGATGCTTTGTGCTATGCGAAGAGTAATCATCATCTCATCATCATCTGCTGCCATTCTTATGTAGCCATGATCTTTATTGAACATGAAAACTCAATCATGCGAGGGGTGCGATGGCTAGAGAAAACAACAAAGCATCAACTTGGCCTCGACGTTGTAGTGAAAACAGCTCGCCTACAACAAACAAAAGCCGGCGCTCGATACTTTGTGTATCAATGCACACGCTATCTCTACAACTCTGAGACACGACAATTTTTGCCTTACGTATTCCAACTCGGTCAACAATGTGATGAGCTTGCCAAACAAAATCAGGGGTTGACGAGTGAAGAGGCATACAGGCGTCAAGAAATGATTGGGACCAATTTCATTGAGGTCTATGTGCCCAATTTTATGATGGCATTGCTACGTGAAGCTACATCGTTCTTTTACATTTACCAATTTACAATACTATGGCTGTTTTATTATTACGACTATTGTAAGTAATGGATGTTGTATCTATGTATGGCTTCTAACATGTGTATACTATAGGGCAGGTGGCTATTGCTGATACAGGTGTCATTCTTCTCTCGGCATTATTCAAGGTGATTGTACGACTTCGAGCAGAAAAGCGGATCAAGAGCATGGCCGAGTTTACAGACAACATCAAACTTTTACGAGATGGCGAGTGGAAATCATTATCAACAACGGAGATGGTACCTGGCGATGTGTTTGAAGTTGAGAGTGGAAAAGTGGCACCTTGTGATGCAGTGATATTGAGCGGCAATATCGTGGCGGATGAAAGCTCATTAACGGGTGAACCCTTACCGATTCGTAAATTCCCACTACGCACCGATGATCACTCACCATACAATCGAATGGGGACCGGCAAAACGAGCACCATCTTTGCAGGCACCACCATTTCGCAAGCACAACGAGATGCCACTGATCCCAATCAACGAGTAGCCGCTTTGGTGACACAAACAGGAACAGCTACTGATAAAGGCCAACTTGTCAAACGCATTCTTTTCCCAACACGTGTCTCTTTTATTTTCGATGAGCAGCTAAAGATAGTCATCTTGATCTTGTGTACGTGTGCCCTGATCGTTTTGTGTTTGGCCATTTGGATGTATACACGAGGCACTACGGCTTGGTTCTATGCCACTTTTGCCGTTGCTCAATTGGTTTCACCCCTACTCCCTGCTGCATTGGTGGTAGGCCAATCGGTTGCTTCAGGCCATTTAAGGAAGAAGAAGATCTATTGCGTTGGTATGTGTGTGTGTGTTGGTTTTTCATTGTTTACACTATAATGACAAAACACTTTTAGATCTACCTCGAATCTTGATGGCTGGCAAAGTGCAGATCTTTTGCTTTGATAAAACGGGCACCTTAACAAAGGAGGGGCTTGAATTTTATGGTGTCCAACCCATTGAGCATAACAATGAACCCACCCAAGACAAAGACGGCATCAAAGCAACTCCCGCATTTGGACAACATTTTCTGGATATGCAACAAGCGGTGCCTGATTTGATGAAAATGGGTATTGCTACTTGCCATGCTGTCACCACCTTGAATGACCAATTTATCGGCAATCCTGTTGATATTGAAATGTTTCGTTCATCGGGATGGACTTTGAAACAACGAACAGCTGAAGATATAGATAAAGGGTACATTGACACCATCATCCCTGCTGCACAATCCCCAGGTGACCTTGTGACCCCCTTCCATATTGTAAAGAGGTTCGAATTTGCACACGATCGTATGTCCATGTCCGTCGCTGTGTTGGATACACGCACCAACAAAATCCATGTCTTCGTCAAAGGTGCTTATGAAAAGATTAAGGACATCTCCAATGCAACATCCGTGCCTGGCAATTATGATTCTGCCACTGCTAACCTTGCTCATCAAGGATGCTACGTAAGTAACAACCTTCACTATGGCTTTTATTATATGCTAAACCAGCAACCACCAGGTACTTGCTATGGCTCATCGTGAATTGGATCTTGAAGCTATAGGCGGCTTGAGCTGTTTTCGAGAATGGAGTCGAGATCAAATGGAACAAGATATCAACCTTATTGGCCTTGTCATATTCAAGAACCAGCTTAAAGCGGATACAGCCGAGAATATTGCTGCATTGAAACGAGGTGCAACACGTACAGTGATGATTACGGGTGACACAGCATTGACGGGCGTATACATTGCAAGGCAATGTGGGATGGTTCCACAGGGTGCCAAAGTGCTGTTAGGTGATTATGATCGCTTTCAAGACACGGTCGTATGGAAAAACGTGGATGAATCACCCGAAGATGAAAAGCCAATCATGATCGACAATGTCCATGAATACATGTCTGATAATCCAGCCACCAACATTGAGCTCGCCATGACCGGCAAAGCGTTTCAATGGATGATGGAGCATGATTGGATTCGGCATTACTTGTTGGATGTGCGCGTCTTTGCACGAATGACGCCAAGCCAAAAAGTGCAATGTGTTCAGCTGCATATGGAACGTGGTATCACCGCCATGTCGGGTGATGGTGGTAATGATTGTGGTGCGCTACGTGCTGCTCATGTTGGTATTGCCATGTCCGATGCCGAAGCATCCATTGTTTCCCCTTTTAGTACAAGTCATCGTAGTGTTGCTTCTTGTGTTGAGTTGCTGCGTCAAGGCCGTGCTGCATTAGTTACCTCAATCACCGGATACAAATATTTGGTTTGTGAGTATACAACGATGTCATTTTATTTCAGCAACAAAGATGCTCATGAGTCTATATAGTGTATGGGCAAATCATGATGATGCTCAAGATCTTTTCATTTTACTTTGCTATGGGTATGCCACAATACGTATGGATTGCTGTCGACTTTTTCATTACCGTGCTCTTAACATGGGCCGTGTCACAAGCCAAGGCTGCAAAGGATCTTGCACCACAACGACCCACTGCACGTCTTTTGGGACCACAAACATTAGCTTCATGTGTTGGACTTGTAGTCATCAATTGGCTATTCCTATCAGGTGCCTTTGTAATGCTATTCAAGCAACGTAAGTATATGCTTGCCCAATCTTTGTACCATGATCCTATGTATGTGCTAATTCACCACCCAATCACAGCCTGGTATCGATGTAATGAATTTGACAGCTCTACCGTGGATACGTCCAAATGGGCATTGCTTTCCAAATACTATGAGCCTGAAATTGCATCACTCGTATGTTTGACCCAATTCGTCAACAGCGCTGCCGTGTTTAATTTTGGCGACAAGTATCGACAAAGCTGGTGGCGGAATTATGCCTTGGTGGTGCTATGGAGTGCATATCTTGCTATCATCTTTTATTGGATTCTAGCGGATCCCAACCCTTTCAGCTGTGCATTTCAATTCAATTGTGGAACAAAAAGCGTCCTTAAGCAAATCGGATACGACTATCCATCATCGCTTCCACCTTACGATACACCACTTGGTCACAATGTCATGCCACGTGATTTTCGATGGAAGCTCTGGGGCCTTTGCGTTGGTAATGTTATTGCTGCACTCTTATACGAAAAGCTGGTGGTATTAGGACCTGTGCGCGATTTTTTGGCTCGTAAATTTCCTTTGGAACGTCAAAAGCTCAAATACTAGAACAATGTGTACTCCCAAGAATATTAAATTATGAACTTCCTCTAAGAATCAATGGTATTACATTTATCATTTATGGAGATTTACTGATAGGGGAGGGGAAAGGGTAGATAAGGGAAAGTATGAGTTATAAGAAGGTGGGCCCAAAGGAGTATTCGTCGGATGGGTGGGTGGTTGGTGTGGAGAATTGAACCTCAGCCAATGGTCAAGGAGGTGGGCTTGCAACGCGCCGAGGCAACCTCCTTCGTCTTTGCAACAAAGGTGGGCATCCAATCCATCCATCGAATACACCAATGCATCCATCCATGTTATATTCATCAACATCCATCTTTGAATAGTATCCGCAATGCAAATCTTTGTCAAGACTCTTACTGGCAAGACCATCACCCTTGAGGTCGAAAGGTAACCATCACCCCACGATAACACCCCCATGCACCCAGATGAGAGCAATGCAACTCACTCAATGTCCCCACCTCTTTTATTATTATAGCTCTGACAGCATTGAGAATGTCAAGCAAAAGATTCAAGACAAGGAAGGTATGTATATGGGGAATCGATGAAAGGGGTACTCAATGGGGTCGTGTGTTGTTGCTATGTACAACATGCTGACACTACGTTATTCATTCAGGTATCCCCCCGGATCAGCAACGTTTGATTTTCGCTGGCAAGCAACTTGAGGATGGCCGTACTCTCTCTGACTACAACATCCAAAAGGAGTCCACTCTTCACTTGGTCCTCCGTCTTCGTGGTGGTATCATCGAACCCTCCCTTAAGGCTCTTGCTTCCAAGTACAACTGCGAGAAGAACATCTGCCGCAAGTGCTATGCTCGTCTTCCTCCTCGTGCTACCAACTGCCGTAAGAGAAAGTGTGGCCACTCCAACCAACTCCGTCCCAAGAAGAAGCTCAAATAAGCGACTCGCTTGGATATTATTGTCAGAAATGGCTATGCTTTTGCATCCGTGTCATTTAACCAACATACTACCACCCTGGCAATAAATGTATGGATCCCACTATGTTTACATACACACACGTGATGAAATGGGCTTTTTGGGAGATGATGAGGTTCTTATTATTATCGAAAGAGAGAAGTGATGGAAAGAAGAGGATTATGCATTGTTATGGTCATGCGTGGTATGTGGAACGATCTTCTATGGCTTTGGGGATTATAGTTACACCAACGGCTTATCAAGCGCACAAGATCCATGAGACTAAAGTAGACGACGTAGGGCATGGCATATACATGGTTTTGCTTTATACATAAAAAAAGTAACATTAATTACAAGTATCGATACAATATTGTCGGATGGATGATGTGGGTGCGAATGCTTTGTCTTGATGCATAGATGGAGGGGATGGGAAAAGCGGTATATCTCTGCTCCGGAAGATTGTTGGATCAGGTGTTAGCGATGATGGCTGTGGATGAGCATGTTCAAAAAAAAGATCAGCGGCATCGCTTTCTTCATTCATATCTTCGTTTTCTTCAGAGGAACTTGCAGCTGATGATGACGATGATGATGACGGGCTACTACCGCCATATTGGTTTTCACCACACCTTTCTGCTTTACGTCGTTCGTACCATTGATGTTTACGTTCTTGAGCTTTCAACTTTGCAATTTCCTTGGCCAAGGTCTCACGCTCCGTTTGTAGTGCAACATGTTCTTCATGATCCAGTGGTGGTTGTCGCTTGGCAAGGATGTCATCCAACTGGCTCTGGAGCGTATGGATCTTTTGTTGACGTGCCTCAGAGACGCGTTGTGCATGCATTTTTCTCTTCAAACGGGTCCAATGTTGGGATGATGCGGTAGAAGAACGTGTAGAACGAGCACATGAAGATATGGTCACTTCCTTGGTGAGCTTGGATCGACTTTTGCCACGCTTGTATTGATAGCCATCCATCAATAGCTTACGCTTGGCACGCTCAAAGAGATCACCTTTGTTGACTACCAGAGATGGGTCTTGTAAAGCAAGGTGAACGGCCGCTTCATTGATTGCTTTTTCATATCCAGTAAGGGGTCGACTGCTACGTTTGCCATAGATGGTAGCATGAGACACAATGACTTCTCGAGAAGGTCGCCGAGTGCACGTATCACCTAGCCAAGATGGATTCGATGTCGGCTATATGGTATGTATGTGTAAGTCATTGCTATTACATACAAAAGGCAATACTCACAGAGCTCAGAATTTGTTCAAGACTTGGTAGCATAGGTGCTGGTTCAGCGGGTTCAAGGGACTTTTTGTTGCCATCACCGGTGGATCGTGTTGTTTTCACTCGTAGCTCTCGTAGTGACTTTTTAAACTTGGATGAATGAAAAGGAAGCATGTTTACAGCATTTAGGAATTCGCTGAGCTCGTCATCATTAAATTGAATCAGCTGCTGCAGGTCATCTTCATTGTCTGTTGCAATGCCAGCACGCACAAAGCCATCTTGATATTGGGTAAGGTTGAGGTCTTCGAGGAAAACAGCTAATGTTGTTGATGACATAGTATAATGGGATGCGGTCAAATAGAAAAGATAAGGAGCATGAGCTGTGGAAAAGTCGTAGGTTTTCAACAAATGGCGTCTATTTATGCATGGATGACTATCGCTATCCCGTCATGCAATATGTCTCATCTCCAACCATAGGCGTTGAAAAATTTCTGATCCAGGAAATTTTGGGGGGATCCTCCCCCGAAATTTTTGCCTGTTGCTGCATCTGCTGATTGGATCATCTAGGCAAATCATCAAATAACCCACGCCCCATGCATCTACGACAGTCTCCATACGAACATTATCACCATCTCTGCAACATCGCTTGTATACACACACGTATAACAAACAATGGTTGTAATCCTTATCTCGCGTTGCCATCATGGTCATACACGCTTCATTGAAAAAACAGTACAAGATGATGTTGCATGGCAACGGGAAATTTTACCATAAACGCAGCATGAATAATGAATCGCACACCATCTCATTTTCATTGTCAGCGTAATTAATGGATTGAGGACGATGATCTTTACGTAAACGCACGTTCCCTGCAAGAGACGAGATGACATTCAAATCGACTTTGGTGCATCGTTTCACCCATTTCAAATACCAGGAAGCTGTAGAGGACTCAAATCCTTTATACATTGTGATGGTATGTACAAATTAGATTGATGCAACAACCATATTCAGCAGTAGCAAGCGTATCCAAGTGCTTTTCCTGGTTCAAAAGCCTAATCCGAGAAAGAAAGAAACATTGAAGGGGGTATCCGCCGTGTAACTAAAGACCTTTGATTATCCTCATCTGCCAATATCTATCTGGGTTGAAAGGACATGCAAACGCGAGAACCCTATTTACGACATTGGTTGTGCAACGAGACTGGCAAATGTCTTGTTGACATGTATCGGATCCGCATAGCGATCCTATATTTCTTGACAACCACCAGTGTATTGGTACTCTTTGGTCACGTTCCTCCTAATGCCACGTGGATCTAGTGTTTGAGATCACTCACTCATACACGTGCATGATACCACCACTCCTGCTAGGTTTATCATTTACGATAATAATAATCACCATGGCATTGATAATTTCAAAGAGGAGGAAGACTAGCAGCCCTACTTGCTCGCTTCACTTGTAAACCTTTGACCTTGTGTTAAATGGTTCCTCGCTACCTTTGGAGTAGTGATCTTACAATAAGGTTACATGTTTACGCAACCACATGACAACCTCGTAGTATTCATCTTTGCAAGAATCTACAATCCTTTGACGTTTATATCTACAACAAGATGCTGCCTCTAAAAGCTGCATGTCCCCATCCGTTCATAGCAGGACGCTCCCATTTAATGTTTTCATGATGAAGTGTGGGGTCTTTATTCGAACGAAACTGATAGGCATATCAAAGCCCACCATCTGACCAAGTTTCACGTTCGAGAAGGGCAATCTTGGGGGCATGCGCTATATACCTATTGATGTTCCCGCCGTCCACCGTCTCTCCTACATTGGGACCATCCCACATTTAACATCCTCGTAATGAAGCCTGCGACTTTTAAATGAATGGCATTGATCAGCATGTCCCATCGAACCTCCTGACCCAGTTTCACGTTTAAGGTGGGCAATCCCAAGATAATACATGCTATTTCGATAAATCATGAATCTGCGCTTTGACGCGATTCCGGCTTACATAGTATATCCCACATTGCACTCTACCATTCAATATTTTCTAATGAACATGATGTCTTTTTTAATACAACGTTGATCAGCATGTCCAAAAGCATCTTGTGTGAAAGTTTCAGGTTCGAGAGGGGCAATTTCATAATCAAGGTTTGATGTACAGTGTTCATGCATTATACAAGAGGTGTCCTACAGCTCAGCCTACTTTAATTTCCACCTCTTCCACTCCCACAACCTCTTGTCTCTTCCTCCCATTCTCACCTGTTGCCCCATTCAAGTTTACAGCTACCATCTGCGAACGATTGTCCTGCTTCAACCCATCATGTCAACCCTACGATTGTCTTGATCCGATTGCCTTTGACCGAATGGCAAGTCCATAGCGTGTACACAGCCTTCTAGTCAATCTACCACAACACACGAGTCTCTTGACACAACACACGCTTTTGCACTCTCCTCTGCCACAGTCAAACATAACAGCATTCATTCCAGCAGTTGCTATTAGCGATGCCTTTGCTCCATTGTCTCAAACAGCGTTCACAACCTTGTCACTCTACTACAACATGCTCTGCTCTGCCACAACCAAGCGTAACAGCAACTACTATGAGCGAGGTCACTTTACTTGCAGCAACTTGCCTCGTAGCCTTTATTACGTGAACAGCAGATAACCACTGTATACAAACAGCTTTATTTACGTGTAACAACTTGCTTTGGTGCATACGGATTCCAATGGATGATGCCATATCAGCTATCAAGCACGCTGAAATACAAGCAATCCTCACCTCGTTGAGCTGCGATAGAAAACGACCAAAAAAGAGATGGACCAACACCCGGATCGAAAAGCAAGCATACCAGCAGCGATCACATGTCCTTTTTCAACCAACATATCGGATTTGATGGATGGATGTAATCAAGTGCAGTGCTAAGATATCTTGGAATGATGCTTTGGTTAATTGTCGCGCTGTCAGCAGGAATGGTCACGTGGATACGGTGAGGATGATGATGAATTGGATCGGATTGTCGAGAAGACTTGTATCTTTGATGAAAGAAAGTGTTTTACAACCATGGATGATATTGGAATACTCAAGTCAATGCATGCAGCAGCTATTTTACAATCATGGATGAAGGATGTTTATGACGGCAGCAACCAAGAACACAATGACACAATTATCCCTATTGCCTCTATGATGTGATTCACCCGTATCTCATTCAACTTACGCTACTGTTCCTTTATCATATTTACTTGATAAACATCCACATTACCATGTCTTAGTCTTCGACTTATGCATTGAATGAAAATTGGATTCGACAAGATGTTTAGGAGTGTGTCGTGCTATAAGCTTACATGTGCAAGATGTGGATCACTTGGTTGGTTTCGGATTGGAAGGAGGGGGAATAGAAATTGGAAGGTTGGGAAGCGAGATTGGATCATTTACATCATCGTATCGAAATGCTGTGTTCTTTTGTCACATTACTGTATTGCGTTCATTAAACGTTCATAGTTCACATACCGATAGACAAAATGCAGTGGGGATCATCAAACACTTGTACTGCAAGATAGTAAATTCGATAGTAATGATGCCTAACATAGTGCTTGCTACAGAAGCTTGGTTCATTGTAAGCTTAATTCATTATGTTCAAGAAAGAGTGAGCTGTGATACAATGACTACGAGCACATGGACATACAATAGTTTTCTATGATACTTTTCAGCTGACATTATATCTTGCAACCTTGTATAAAAACGGTCCAATCCATATAGGCATCATACGCGGACCTTATTATCAGCAGCAGGCAGGGGAAGGATCGATCATGCACTCTCAACCAATAGGATCGACCCCTTCGAGTCGCATCCTCCTGGACTTTGTGACACAAGCACACACCTGTGCATCTTTTGCTCCAGGGTCTAGCTACTTGACAATGAACAAAGACCACCCTTCATATAGCATCACGCTTACAGCATATGTAAAACATAAAGACAGTCATATCTCAAGATTTTACAATCAAACGTGGGGTCTTTAATAGAACGATCTTCCTCGGCGGGGTGAAAGCGATCTTGTGTCAAACTATGAAGTCCATCGTGGCCATTCCCAGATTTCGCAATGTCGCCACCAGCCAAACCGGATCTGGGGGTCGACCTCTTTCGACGACGACCAAAAAATATTTTTTGGGCTGTTCGCGACATTGAACGCGAAACTTTCACACGAGGTGCTGTTGGCCAAGCCGAGCCCATTGCTCCAATAAAAACCCCACGTTTCATTGTAAAGTTTGGAGATACAGGCACCTTTATGTTTGTAAGCGTGATGCTATATGAGAAGTGGTCTTTGTTCATTGTGAAGTGGCTAGACCCTGACAGAGCAAAAGACGCAGAGGGTCGTGTTGTGTAACACGGCTACGTTTGCATGAATGAAAGGGTCAATGTATAATTACTTTATGGATCATCTAGGAACAGGCATGTATTGCTAGCTACACGGCCACTTTTATCCAATCATCATTGTTGCGAGATCCACTGCATGGGAACGATGCCCCTGCTCTAGACATTCATTTCCATGATTAAAGTAGATTGATCCGAGCTGATTTGACTGAGCTGCGGTCAAAGAGAGATTACATCACTCTGGACATAAAGCACGCTCGATGTAGCTCAACCGATATAATCTTGTGTGAGCGTAACTCAACCAAATCAGCTCGGATCAACCTACTTTAATCATGGAAATGAATGTCTAGAGCAGGAGCATCGTCCACCTACAATAGAATGCACAAAAGTTGGGAATGCACAAAAGTGGCTATTAGCTGCCAATGTATGACATAAAAGTGAGGATTGCGTACCTATCATGCATTGTCCCTGAAGTCCTGACTTTTTAGCTGAGTTACACAAAGAGGTCCTTCTGCATCTTTTGCTCTGCCAGGCTCCACCTACTTGACAATGAACAAAGACCACTTCTCATATAGCATCACGTTTACAAACGTAAAGGTGCCTGTATCTCCGAACTTTACAATGAAATGTGGGGTTTTTATTAGAGCAATGTGCTCGGCTTGGCCAACTGCACCTTGTGTGCAAGTTTTACGTTCATCGTTGCCAATCCCAGATTTCGCAATGTCGCTACCAGACAAACTGGATCTGGGGGGTCAACCTCTTTCGACGAAGACCAAAAAAATATTTTTTGGGCTGTTTGCGACATTGAACGTGAAAC